ATCAAAAATTCACATTTTGGCTATAAAATTTTGTGATTTTTTAAATAGAAGTTTATATATAAAATAATTGTATTCCTTACGTCAAGACGAATCGATCGATCTATATAAAGTATACATTTGAGGTAAATTTAAAGAATTAGTGAAAGTTAAAAAATCAAAAATTCACATTTTGGCAATAAAATTTTGCTTTCTCCACGAGGAAGCAAATTTTTTTGCTGATCGTAAAGAGGAAGCAAAATTTTCATGTAATGAACATCTGAATTTACAACTTGTTTTATTTGTTTATATTAATATAATTATTTATTCAAATTGAAAATCAAAAACCCCCAAGAAACATCTTTTTATGGGTGTTTAATATAATTTTTTCTTTAACCTGACGTGGTAAAAACTTCAAAAAAGTTTTAAATTATAGTATAAATCGTATACTACATGACAGGCAGTGCTTAGATTCAATCAGCAATGTTCAGCGAACAACCCAAAAATGATAAATAAAAATAAATAGCTCTATGAGTGCAAGTAGAGTGCGCGCGCACATGAAAAAGTTGTGCTATATGAAAATTTTTGATTGGTTCAGAGCTTTTTTGATTTGATTCTTATAGTTGACAGTTCAAGCTTTAATTTAAGACTAATTAGAGACTTCTATCACCTCGGCATCATTCTCTACACGTGATGAAAAAACGCCAGAAACAGGGTTTTTTGAGACTTTGAGTCCATTTTTCTCAAAATCTCGATGTGATGAGAACTTTTGGAGGTCAGATTCGTATTCAGCGATTAAAATCCTATAAGAATAGCTATGTCCGACCTTTGAACCAGAAAAAAGTTATTTTTTGTCGACCAGTGTTATTTAATAAAAATAAATGTTTTTTTTTGAAAATATGTATTTTTATACACAAAATTACAGATAAATCGCGCACTTGAACTAACAAGTAAGCACTGCACTTTACACATTAATTATTCACTAATTAGAGCTTAATTTAACTAAATTATTTAACAAATCAACTTAACTAATCATAATTTACCAGTATCAATGGTTTTTAACCATATTTCATGTTTTAACATCTTTTTTTTAGCTTTTAACCAAAGTTAACCAAAATCGAACCATATTCGGTTCGAATACGGTTTTCCTAATTCGCCAGGGGACAAATTCAATATTGACACTAATAATCCTTTTAATGCACAGCCGAATTGGTTTTTCAATCTTTCAAATACTACAATTTCTGACAATGTTTCCAACTTTATATCATTGGGCAATAATTTTAATTTTAATATTGATGAAAAAAATAAACATATGAACACAACAATTGATTATATAAAATCCGTTGAAAATTTCATTATATCTTATAATTTAAATATTGGAATTTCTAATGATATAAGAAATAAACTTATTAATAAATTGCGTTCTTATGAAAACATAATAATTTTATTTTGACTACTACTGTAATTTTTTTTTGAAAAACTAACATCGAATTTGTGATCAGCGATGCCAAAAACCCCTGGGTCACTATTTTTATTAAAATCGATCAAAGTAATTATCTGAAATTAAAATTTGTTTATATAATTTGTTTATAACAATTTATAATTTTTTCCTAACATTGATTTTTTCATATCTTTAATACAAATCTCGAAAGTTATAAATTTTTGAAAATTTATAATTATTTATTTTTTTTAAATTTCACTTCAATTTTATATTATTTATATAATAAATTTATAATCGCTGATCATGAATTCGATGTTAGTTTTTCAAAAAATCAAAATCGCCATATTGGATCCGCCATTTTGAATTTTGAAAAAGTGACCTCGAATTCGTTATCAGCGACCCTGAAAACCCCCGAGTAATCAGTTTCATTTAAGTTAATTGAAATCATTGCCCAAATTAACAATTTGTTTATATAATTTGTTTATGGCTCATTTCATTTAAATTGTCATATTCGTGTCCCTTGCCAAAAAAAATTATTTGATATAACCTTAGTTGAAATTAATTTGTTTATATAGTAAAAAGCAATAATTTTCAATAATTTTTCTACTTACAAGGACATAAAAGTGATTTTCATAATATTGGCAGAACAAAAAGCAGGCAAAATGTCATAAGTGTAATGCGTCCCCGGAGACATTTTCAATGTTCAAATGAATGAAATGTCGAAAATATAGTGTTTAAACCAGATTAAAAAAATGTTTCGTTAAGTATTAGTTCTATATTTAAGGAAAATCAAGTGTTAGTAATTAAACTTTATTTTATACAATTTCCAGAAAATGAAAATGACGTGTCCCTTACTTTTGTATTTTTACGTTTTGCCGGCAGAATTTCCTACTTTTACCTGCTATTTAAATTACCTTATGAGCAAAAAATTTCTTTACCATCGCATGAGCAGCAGAACATAACAACGAAGTGTGTGAAAAAAACGAAAACGATATAAGTATAAATCTGCTCGTTTGTCATAGAGGCAGAAAAAGCCGAAACACTTTCGTAATTGAATTTCTGTCAACAGTGTAACGCCTTGAAAATTTTTCTTTTATCTTGATATCAGAATGGATTCTAATGTATTTTTGGGCACTGAACACGATCCCGGATCTTAAAATTGCCTAGTATGTCAGGATTTTGGAAAAAGTGGGGGTAAAAACCCCCAAGAAACCTTTTTTTTATTGGTGTTTAATATGATTTTTTCTTTAACCTGACGTGGTAAAAACTTCAAAAAAGTTTTAAATTATAGTATAAATCGTATACTACATGACTCGTACACGCAACCCTCCCTCCTAATTTTTCCATAAAATGGGGTTATAACCCACCCCCAAAATTTTATATTTTAATTCTTTCGGTGAAATGAATAAATATTTATTTGTTTTATGTTCAAAATGTTTAAGGACATAAATTTTGCATTTTGCCTATATAATTTTTAACCCCTTCGCAGTCCATTTAAAAATCACTTATAGGCCTAATAAGGTTCCAAATAGAGCTTCCAAAAAATTTGATTTCATCGTATTTAAGATTTTTGGATTCATCTGGTATCAAATTCGAATTCAGCGACTCCAAAAACCCACAAGAAACAAATTTCGACCGAATCGCATCAGTCTTAAAATTATCCGCCATATTGGGTCCCCATATTGGATCCACCATTTTAAATTTTGAAAATCTGACGTCACATTTGTAATTAGCAACCCAAAAAACCCCTAAGTAACGAGTTTCAAGCGAATCGAATCAACTTGTAAATTTTCATTGTCGCCATTTTGGATCGGCCATTTTGAATATTTTAAATCTGACTTCAAATTCGGATTCAGCGACCCCAAATACTTCAGTATATTGATTACCAGTCAAATCAAATTATATTTAGTATTATTATTTTATCAAAAATTGACAGAAAACAATTTTTATTAGATATGACGATTTCTGCCAAAAAAAACCGTCTGCCATAAGAAATATATGACTTTAATTTTGTGACCACTATTTATTTTGTTAATTTAACATGTTAAACTGTTTAAAAAAATTAGTTTCAACCTTAAAATCAAAATTTTCCAACTCAACTTTTCTGGAAGCTGAATATGACAATTTAAATGAAATGAGCCTTATAACAATTTACTAATGCGTCTATATCATCATTCTACAATTCAGAGATCCAGAGGAGTAAATTTAAATACCTATCAATAAAATCTTTACATATTTTTTTGAAAATAAGAGTAATATGTAAAAAAGTACGTTTTTTATTTGTTTATATTAATATAATTATTTATGCAAATTGAAAATCAAAAATCGGGCTCGAGGGATCTCTTACAATTTTATTAAAGATTATTTAAAAAAAACATTCCATAAACGGTTGCGATTTGTAGGCTCTGGACTGTTTTGAACCCTACTTTTTGATTTCAAACCACTGTGAGGCACTAGTATATTTTTGAAAATAATTTGTTTTTATTACCTTTATTTTATTGAACATCCAAGAAATACAATGTGTTTCCTTATGAAAACTATTAGAAAGAAGGGAAATACAAAATATTTTCAATAATATACGAGTGTTCGAGTGTTAGCCTGCTTGTCCGAAGTTACCCGCTTTGACAGTATCAGGATTTTTTCTACAATAATTATTTAAGAGTATTGGAAAATATCATTTAAGTTAAAGGAATGAGTACTTTTACAATGGTAGAACTTTGAAAACTGCTTGGGGTCTCACAGACCCCATGTGTGCTTCTTGTTTGAAAAAATAGGTGTGTTCTCCGAGGGTTAAAAATTCAAAATGTCGGAATCAATATAGTGACAATTTTCCAAAAAATTAAAATTGCTTAAAATTTGTTACTCTGCGGGATTTTGGGGTCGCTGATCACGAACCTGTAGTCAGATTTTAAAAATGAAAAACGCGGAACCAATATGGTGGTCAATTGGAAGTAAGATTTTAAAAATTCATAATGGCATAATATAATAGGTGTGATTATTAGTGTAAAATATTGAAAGTACTCTAGTAATTTTTGTGAAAATGTATTTTTTTAGTAAAAAAAATTATTTTTTAAATTTCAAAGGCATTGTTATTTTGAAGCTATAGAAATTTAATGCGCAACATGTAAATTTTTAAAAAATATGTAGCCAAAAAATTACTGGAGTTTCCAGTATAATTTTAGTATAATCTGACATCAGAATCTTATGCAGTGAACTCAAAAAACCCCAAGTAACAGATTTCAGAAAAATCCTGCCAATAAAAAAAATGTTGGTTGACAAATAATAAAAAACAAATTTATTTGTGTCAAATATTCGATTACTTGACTATTATCAAATAAATTTTTACTTCAACCAAATAATTTTTATTTGCATTAAATAAACTGTAAGTGAATCAATAATTTCAGTATTCAAGGTAAATACCATTTAATAGATTTAAATAAAAATTATATGGTTCAAGTAAATATTTATTTGTTAATAATTATGTATTCATGTATATGTTTGCATATACAGTACTAAACTTAATCAAAAAATTCCTGTGATATTTTTAAGAATTTCTTTTGACAATTGTTTTTCTGTAATTTAGATCCTAGAACAAATGATTGGTTCCTGATAAGCTCACCAGTGCCAGGAGCAAGTATCCTTATAGGATATTTGTATTTCGTTCTATCATGGGGCCCAAAACACATGGAACATCGAAAACCCTATCGATTAAACAATGTCCTAGTCGTTTACAACTTCATTCAAGTTTTGCTAAGCATTTGGTTGTTCTATGAAGGCCTCGACGCAGCCTGGTTGAAAAAATACAGTTGGAAATGTGAACCTGTTGACTTCTCCAACTCTCCAGATGCTCTAAGGGTAATTTTCTTTTATTTATAATCCACACAGCAGCGAAAATTTTCTGAAACTTGATATAAGATTTCACACAAAACTTTCATTACAAATTTCAACTTTACTTAACGCCAATAAATTAGATATCTGTAATAGTGAAATATTAAACACCGAAAACGAAACATTCAATGTTTCCGATGTCGCCCCAGATAGCACCGAAGTTTGTTGGAAGTTAACGGCCATAAGTTCGGAAGTTAACACTGTTAACTTCCCGGAAGTTTTGAATGTCCTCAGAGTTTAAGTTAACATTATTAACTATTAACTTGCAGTTGTAAGAAGCTTTTTCTGATAAATTCAAAATTAGAAAATTTTTTTTTCAAGATGTATGTATTTTATTACATCCATACCTTCTCTATAAGCAAATGTAATTAAAAAGTATTGCGCAGCCCTAGCCGCCATAGAAAACATCTGTGTATGTAAATGGATTTTTAAGTTTACCATAAAAATTTTGTGTAAATTTACAAAGGAAAACTTTCAGCGAATTTATTTTTCTAACTTTCAACAAATTACCCAATCAACACGAAAACTTGCAGGAAGCTTGTCGTGCAAGATTGCAGGCAAACATGTAGCAAGTTTGGTGCAAGCAACAAAATGTCCTCTTACGGCAAGCTTGCTGCAAGGTTGTATAATATATTTAAAAAAATTTTAGAAACAATTTGTTTCTAAATAAACATGAAAGTCACCTTGCTTTGGAGGTTAAAAAATTTATTGCGCAGCCGTAGGAGCTTCCGTTTATAATTGTTGGGTAACAGTGTGAACTTAAACTCTGAGGACATTTATAACTTCTGGGAAGTTAACAACGTTAATTCCAAACTTATCGCCGTTTACTTCCTGTAAAGTTCTGTGCTTTCTGGGTGAAAATGGATTTCTGGACTCTAGGTCAAGAAGAAGAATAAATTACTTCACATCATTATTGAAGACAAATGTATTTACATTGATTTTGTATATTAGATTAGACATTCAAAATCTGTTATTGACAATACTTTTCTGAATTCTTCACATCTCATTTATTGTATACACCCACATATCACGTAAGCGTGCAGCAAAGTTGCGGCAAGCTTGCCGCGCAATATTGCCATCCTTACACGGCAAACTTGCCGCAAGCTCCAAAGGTCTCGTCTGACTCAAGCTTGCATGGTAAGCTTACCGAAAGATTGCTCAGTAAGCCTACCGAAAGATTGAAGTGTAAGGTTACTGCAAGATTTAATAATAAGATTATCGCAAGATTGCTTAGTAAGCTTCTAGTAAGGTTGCAAAATAATCTTATTTTTAACATAAAAATTTTTTTTAATGTTTTATCTAATTTATACAATTTTATCATATAAATTTGATTATATAAATTAAACGAAACATTTTTTTTTTAAAATTTTGTTTAGGTTTAAAGCAAGGTTATTTTTCAACCTTGCACCAACCTTGCTACAAGCTTACTGAGCAATCTTAGGATAATCTTATGGTGTAATCTTGTAGTAACCTTACACTGCAATCTTTTGGTAGGATTACTGAGCTTGCCGCAAAGTTGCTTCAAGTTTACGTGCTATCTGGGCATAATTAACAACATGAATCTTATATTAATAGTTGTAAAAAACATTCCAACAAAAACTCAATTTTTTAAAAAATGACCCTGGCAAATTAGGAAAACCGTATTCGAACCGAATACGGTTCGATTTTGGTTAACTTTGGTTAAAAGCTAAAAAAAGATGTTAAAACATGAAATATGGTTAAAAAAAACCATCGATACTGATAAATTGTGATTAGTTAAATTCATTTTTTAAATAATTTAGTTAAATTAAGCTCTTATTAGTGAGTAATTAATGTGTATAGTGCAGTGCTTACATTCAATCAGCAATGTTCAGCGAACAACCCAAAAATGATAAATAAAAATAAATAGCTCTATGAGTGCAAGTAGAGTGCGCGCGCACATGAAAAAGTTGTGCTATATGAAAATTTTTGATTGGTTCAGAGCTTTTTTGATTTGATTCTTATAGTTGACAGTTCAAGCTTTAATTTAAGACTAATTAGAGACTTCTATCACCTCGGCATCATTCTCTACACGTGATGAAAAAACGCCAGATACAGGGTTTTTTGAGACTTTGAGTCCATTTTTCTCAAAATCTCGATGTGATGAGAACTTTTGGAGGTCAGATTCGTATTCAGCGATTAAAATCCTATAAGAATAGCTATGTCCGACCTTTGAACCAGAAAAAAGTTATTTTTTGTCGACCAGTGTTATTTAATAAAAATAAATGTTTTTTTTTGAAAATATGTATTTTTATACACAAAATTACAGATAAATCGCGCACTTGAACTAACAAGTAAGCACTGCACTTTACACATTAATTATTCACTAATTAGAGCTTAATTTAACTAAATTATTTAACAAATCAACTTAACTAATCATAATTTACCAGTATCAATGGTTTTTAACCATATTTCATGTTTTAACATCTTTTTTTTTTGCCCGAACTTGGTAGTTTTCGGTTGCGGATGTCATTCGGCACACTTATGTGCTTCAGCGGCGTGCTTAAAGTTACCAAAAACAGTGGAACAATTTGCCAGAGACGTTTACAACTATTTTGTAAACAGTACTAAACGTAAACAAGAACTACAAGAATTTCAAATTTTTGCTGAAGAAGTTGTACACAAAATACTTAAACTCAGCACAACCAGATGGCTTTCTTTCATTGTAAGTATATAATTTAAAATTTATTATATTAAAATGGTTTTTATTATATTTTATTATTTGACGTTTACATATACAAAAATAATTTTTTAAATATCTATTAGTTAGGAAATTGTAAAATTTGTAATTTAGAAAAAAATTACAAATTTTAGTACAATTTAATAATTTAGAAATTTTAATTTTATAATTTTTTTAAATTTTAAACTGTCAATTAAGAAAATAAATAAATACATTCATAGAAAAATTTACACAAATAATTTGACTTTTTATTTTCAGAACGTTGTGAATAGAATATTGGAACAGTGGTCCCCTCTGACACTCTACTTTCAAAGCGCTGTTTTAGAGGATGATTTACATTCTGCGAGGCCAATTTTAGAAGCTTTACACAACCCTGCTTACAAGTTGTATTTTAAATTTTTATCGCATGCTTTGACGTGGACTGTCAAATTGAACCTTCAACTACAACGGGAAAAGCCTCAAATCGCGACATTGCTCAAAAGTGTTACGGAGATATACAAATCGATTCTAAAATGTTTCATCAAGTCAGACATTCTCAGCTCTACTGACCTGTCAAGAATTCAGGTAGATTATCCTCGGAATTTTAAACCACTTGAAGAGATGTACTTTGGTGCGAAAGTGGATGCTTTTATTAAAAGCGACACAGCCATTGATCCTAGAGAATTGCACAATTTCCGATTGCGTGCACTTGATTTTTACATTGAACTAGCGAAGCAAATTAAAATGAGATTCGATTTTAAAAACTCTGATCTGCTGTATGCATCGAATTTTTCTGTTGAAAATGTTTTAAGCGGCAACATAATGTCTATTTCGGAATATGTAAATTTATATCCATCGATTGACAGCGACCCGGAATCTGTGAATTTGGAATGGCAATTGCTTCCTGAAGTATTTAATCTTCAAGAATGTTCGAATTTGGATGATATCGACTTTTGGTCCATGGTTGAAAAAAAGAGAAATGGAGCTGGCGAATTGGTTTTTTCAAATTTGATGAAAGTTGTCAAATATATCATGGTGTTTCCACATTCCTCAGCTGCTGCGGAGCGAACATTTTCACAATACAATTTGATTAAATCAAAATTGAGAAACAGATTAAAAGTATCGACGGCTGCTGCAATTTTACGCATTAAAGATGGTTTACGGTATAATGTTTTATCTTATCGAACAATCACTTTGAAGGAAATTTCCAGATATTTAGAACAGCAAGTTCAGAATGTTGAACAAGTGGACGACAACGAAGATATCGACGACGTTTTTGAATTATTATCGTAAAAACTTTTTACGCTTATTTTTAAAGCTGTTTTATACATGTTAATATTTTAAAAGAATTTATTTAAAATATTTAAATCTACGTTAATTACGTGAAAAATTTATATTTAAATTAAATATTAAATAAACATTAAATACATGCATAAAAGTTATCATTTATAATATTTGAATTTCCCGCCATATTATTACCTATTACTACAGATTTTATACATCAGTACAATTTAGTACATATCAGACCTAGATGTCAGTACAACTCGCCATTTCATTCTGGTAACCCTGTACAGAAAATTTTAAATTATTTTTCACATTATATGCTAGTTGAGACTAGTAACAAACAACTCTAGAAAATTCGTTTCATATGTCTAGATTAAATTTACCCTCGGAGTACACATCTCTTTTTCAATCCAGACTTAATTTTTTTTTAAATATTCTGTAAACCATGAAGAATAAGTCTCCGTACTCTAAATAAGTAATTATTTTATTGATTATACAGTTATAATAAAAAAGCTCATTTTTTCATTGTTTGTTTAGATTGCCCGAGGAGTATACATTTATTTCTTAGCGAAAATTTCAGAACTTTTGGACACTGTTTTCTTCGTATTAAGGAAGAAAGAAAGCCAAATCACTTTTTTGCACATGTATCATCACACTGTTATGCCGATGATATCATGGGGTGCTACTAAATATTATCCTGGTGGTCATGGAACTTTTATTGGTAATAAACATAATTCTTAAAAAAAATAATATGAACAAGTTAGGATAAAAATTTATTCAAGTTTTAAACAGTAAAACATTTTATAAAAAATTTATTATTCCCCTTAATAATTTCTTGAAGATACTTAATATTTTTTTGAAACTTATAACCAAATGACAATTTCGTACCTGAAGTTGGTATTAAATTAATACCTTTCTTTTTACTGTGAAGGTACATATTTAATGAATAATTATTTTAAATTAATGTTTTTCTATTTTCTATGAATTTTATTAAAGATTTTTAATTACTTTTTGAAAAAAAATTTTATATTTCTTTAAATTTAACTATTTTAAAAAAATTGATTAAAATTAAGAAAATTATTTCAGGTGTTATCAACAGCTTTGTTCACATTATTATGTACACTTATTACCTCCTCGCTGCACTTTTGCCACAGTATCAGAAGTACCTATGGTGGAAGAAGTACATAACGACTCTTCAGATGGTAATAATTTATTGTTAAAGTATTTTTTCATTACACTGAGAAAAAATGTTTGAGTTGACAACAAAATATTTTGTATAGTATACGTGCAACCAAAATTTTTTCTTGTATCAACAAAATTTTAGTCGCTGATTACGAATCCGTTGTTTGTTTTTGAAAATTCAAAATGGGGGATCTAATGTATAATGCGTCGCAGTTAAGGTTTGAAAATATTTAAATATTGAATTTGTGTACAACAAAAATATTTTCCATTGCATTATTTTAGCATTTGTTGACTAAATTTTGCGGAAAATGTCAGCGGATTCGTAATCATCGATTTTCACAAAACCAAAAATTGCAACAATATTGTTTCCAATATTGCTGTAAGTTTGGACCAAATTAAACTTGAGTGAAATCTGATCAAATTCGCTTAGAATTAGATTGAGCTAATCCGCCAGGGATATTACATTATTATTTTGCGACATTGAGGATTAACTTTAATTTTTTTTTAATTTCCAGGGTCAATTCTGTCTTGCATTTTTGCACAGCTGCCAATTGCTCTTCCATGATTGTGATTATCCGAAGTGGTCATTGATATTTATTCTTCCAAATGCATCCTTCTTCTATTTCTTATTCTCGGATTTCTACAACAAGACCTACATTCCACAGAAGCAACAAAAATCGATCGCCGTCGCTAAAGAAAAATCCAGAAACACCGAAAAAGAACAAAAATTAAGTAACGGTATTAAGAATGGCAAAGCGAAAGAGGCCTAAATATTTCAGTGTAATTTCAAGAAGTAATTTTTTTTTAACATCAATCTATTAAGCTTATTTTTAGTTAAATTGAGAAAAACTTGCAGTTATAGGTTAAAAAACTGATACGATTACTGTACATATAAGAAAATACTTATGTGCCACATTATGTGACAGAATTGCGCGTTAACTTAGATTTTTTATTACATAGTCAAAATCAATGAAAAGTAGTGTTTCATGAAATGTACAGATTTTTTATCAAATAAATTATAAGTCTTGAATCTAAAGTGTAGGTTGGGTTCTTTATGACGTGGTTTCTCAGAGTCTTTACATGAAATTAACCATCCCCTATAGGTCAAAATTCAATGTAGTCTATTTTTTAAAAATAGATTCACTTTTTTGGGAATAAAGCATTTTTTCTTTATATCATTAAAACGTCTTTTCTGATATCAATTTAAAATATTTTCCCAATTCAGAGAATCATTATTCTCCTTTCAATTTTTTTAATTAGTGAATTGTTGTCTCTTTGCCTCTGGGGAAAAAATGTTTCCAACTTCAAAGTCAATTAATGAATCAGTCAATTTTATAAATATTTTGTTCCGTTTTAAAAATCTTTTCTAGGATTTTCTTATTTCTATTCCGGTTTCACAATTATTAAAAGTCCAGATATAAAAATTCGTTAATTATTTGCCAATTTAAAGAAAATGTGTCGAAAATCTAATATTATCAAAAAATGTTTTTTATTTCTATATGTGAGGCGCTATGAAGAAAGAAATTTGCTTTAAAGGTTATGTTTACTATAGTTTTACCTTGATTAAAAGTTTCTTTTTATTTATGTAAACTTAAAATCAGTATTTATTGAATATTTTGAATGTAATGAAGAATTAAATTTTTTTTGGTAAGGAAAAAAATTTAACAATCCATCCAAGTCAAGTAGTCAGTAAAATAAAAGAAATTATTTTTGACGTTTCGACAGCACTGCTGTCCTCATCAGAAACTAAAAATTTATTAATAAAATATAAAAATATAAGTCAACACAATGTAAAAACAATATAAAATTAAGAAAATGTACAATATTTAAAATTTACCGAAAAAAAATAAACTATAAAATTGTCATCTTGAAGTTAAGACGTCAAAAGACAAACTAAACACAAATCGACAAATTTACATTAATATATAAAGTACAGTGAAAGATCAATGAACTTATAGCACAATATAAACAAATAAATGCGAGTGCGATTGTACGAACAGAGAATGACCAATGAAATAATAATGATGTGAAAATTAGCTATTAATTAAAATTAAATGATATTATGGAATTTATTTGAAAAAAAATTTTTATAATTTTTTTTTTTTTTCAAATAAATTCCTTTCTTCAGAGCGCGTCACATATTATTTATAATTCTAATTTCGATCTGTTATGAAATACTCACATCTATCGATTCCGTAAATCGGGGTAAACACACTTAATTCACAAATTTACTGTTTTTTCAAAAATAAATAAAAACAAGTTGTAAATTCAGATGTTCATTACATGAACATTTTGCTTCCTCTTTGCGATCAGCAAAAAAATTTGCTTTCTCGTGGAGAAAGCATTAACATTGAAATAAACATACAAAAATAATATAATAATAATATAAACATTTGAGTACCTATAGATTTGAGTTAAATTTAAAGAATTAATGGAAGTTAAAAAATCAAAAATTCAAATTTTAGCTGAAATTTCTAAAAATTAATGAAAAATAATTTATAATTTATAATTATTTACAATTATATCGGTTTGTTTCAATGCAAGGAACACAATTATTTTATATTTAAACTTGAATTTAAATAAATACAAAATTTTTCAGCTAAAATGGGAATTTTTTTTTAACTTTCATTAATTTATTAAATTTACCTCTAATGCATACTTTATATATACCAATAGATTCGTTTTCGTGCAAGGGATACAATTATTTCATATATAAACTTCAATTTAAAAAACCCAAGCAGCACGGTAAATTCTCTGAATATCCCTTGAGCACCACAGTGGAATATTCTCATGATCTTCTAGGAAAATCAAAATGTCCGCAACATGGGAATATTCTACAGTGACATTCAGGGTATATTCCAGTGACATTGAGGGAATATTCCTCGGTGACATTCATGGAATATTCCAGTGACATTAAGGGGATATTTAGGTGATATTGAGGGAATATTCCAGTGATATTGAGAGAATATTCCACGGTTATATTGAATTTTTTTTTAAATGTGTTTTTAATCTTCCTGCTTATTTAAATAACAATTTATAACACATTTTTATTATTTCAACACTTTAAAAAAATTCAATATAACCGTGGAATATTCCCTCAATATCACTGGAATATTCCTTTAATATTACCTTTAATGTCACTAGAATATTCCCTGAATGTCACCGTGGAATATTTCCAGGAGGCGGACATTTTGATTTTCCTGGAAGATCATGGGAATATTCCACGGTGGTATTCAAGGGATATTCAGGGGATATACCGTGCTGCTTGGGAAATCACAAAATTTTATTGCCAAAATGTGAATTTTTGATTTTTTAACTTTAATTAATTCTTTAAATTTAAATTGAAACTATACTTTATATATACCAATAGATTTTTCTTGACGTAAGGAATACGATTTTATTATATATAACCTTAAATTTTTCTATTTAAAAATTTTTTTTGGTATTTTTTAAAATTCTTTGGTCAGATTTGAGATATTAATATGATAAATGAGCCTACTAAATTGTATATAAATCCATTAAAACCTGTTGAAGTTATCGTCTAAACAAAAAAGGGATCCACACACACACATACACACACATACATACATCCGGACAATTGATCAGGATCTCATATAACATGTTTCTATATAGAAAAAAATTTGTTTCCGCCACTTTGAAAATTTTTATAAACGAAAGGACTACAAAGCTTCCTCCACGAGGAAGCAAAAACTATTAAGTTTAAATAAACTATCAATAATTTCTAAAAAAATCGTTTATTTTGTATTTAAAAACTTCAAATCCAAATATTTCGATATACTTCGACTTAAATTTTAATAAAAATTATATATAAAGAAAGCTTAGATTTTCTAGTTTCTACCACCTAAATATTACAATGGGCTTTTCAGCGGTTTCGGAGAAAAAAATTAAAATGCAAAATCGTTTTAATAAATTTGATATAGAACATGAAGTTGGGATGTAACCCTCACGTAGAATCTGTTAATTTAAATATTAAATTATGTTAAAGAGGTTTCTTTATTATAACCTGGAATTAATGCGTTTTTGTTAACAAATCTTAAATAAAATCATGCGAATTGAATACCTAGTGGCTGTTTCTATTTCAATTCATGCAGGGCGAATAGGTTGAAAATTCTAAATCAAGTTTAATGTGATTTTTCTTGTTTTTTATGACAAATAAAGAGATACGTATTTTTTGGTTTGGCGAAAAAAAATTTTTTCGCAGAGTTATGAGTATTTGAAAATTTTAAGGCACATAGTGATTTTAGAGCTAAACAGCTGAAAAATTATTTTTAAACCTTTCTAGTTTTTACAAAAATTAATATTTTTCAATTCTGTTTCTTGATTTTAGTAGTGTTTTTGATACTCTTTCTTTACAAACTTGAAAATTTGAAAAAATTTGAAAATTAACAAAATGGCGGACATTTTTTAAAAAATCAAAAAAGTCAATTTTCTCAAAAACATCATTTTTTAATTTGCTGCAAATTTTTTTGTGGTTTCTAGATAAAAAAAGGAACTTTTTCCAAAAGGTCTCATGTTCGCTAAAACTTTCTGGAAGTCGCTATAATTTTTTTCAGAAAATAAATAACTCAGTATTTTGAGTAATGTGTCGACACATATATTTTTCATGTATACAAGGGTCTTCATCTTTTTTAATAGTGCTTTTGACACTTTTTCTTTTCAAAATTGCAAATTTCAAAAACTAACAAAATGGCGTCGGTTTTTCAAAAAATATAAGATCTCAATTTTCTCCAAAACATTTTTTATTTTGCTGAAAATTTTTTTGTGGTTTCTAGATAAAAAAAATAATTCTTTCAAAAAAGGTGAGTTTTTCTTAGTAAAGTTGAAAACTTTCAAAAATTAACTAAATGCCAGCCATTTTTAAAAATTGTTAAAAATAACTATATTTATTTAAATATAGTTATTTTTTATTTTTATATTTATTTAAATATAGTTATTTTTAACAATTTTTAAAAATGGCTGGCATTTAGTTAATTTTTGAAAGTTTTCAACTTTACTAAGAAAAACTCACCTTTTTTGAAAGAATTATTTTTTTTATCTGGAAACCACAAAAAAATTTTCAGCAAAATAAATAAAAAAACTAGAAAGGTTTAAAAATAATTTTTCAGCTGTTTAGCTCTAAAATCACTATGTGCCTTAAAATTTTCAAATACTCATAACTCTGCGAAAAAATTTTTTTTCGCCAAACCAAAAAATACGTATCTCTTTATTTGTCATAAAAAACAAGAAAAATCACATTAAACTTGATTTAGAATTTTCAACCTATTCGCCCTGCATGAATTGAAATAGAAACAGCCTAGTATTATTGAAGTTTTTAAATACAGAAAACATCATGGGAATTTTTTTTTACAAACGCTTAGTACCGTTTTAAAGCTTAAGAAAAAAAATATTGGTTGACTTGACGATCCAATCCAGGTTTTTTTATGATTCATTTTCTTAGAGTGTTAGAAAAACAGAAAATACAATGTAGATTTTGTCATATTATGAAAATTTTTATAAATGAATATTTATACTCATATTCTTGAGTTACGTATGATTATGTGCATGTGTTCAAGGATCAGTTATTGTTAGTCGAAAATGTTCACTTCAGATCTTATACATAAACACGTTCTTGTTCTGAAATGAAATAAGAACAAATGAAAGTTGTGAAATGTAAACAAACCATGGGAATTTTTTGTCCATTTTAATTTGAATAAATAATTAGACTCACTTTGTTTGTAAAAATATTTTCCACGTGAGCATGTTGATAAGAATTTTTCTTATTTGGGGGAAAATTCATAAATCTTTTATCTCCACTCGGAAAATTAATTAAGGGTCTGGTCCAGCCGAGAGTTTCTTCCAATGTGTTTTTTTCAATAATGCTATATATTTTTAATAAATAAAATTTTTTTACACAGAAAGGAATATATGGAGAAGAAAATTAAAAAAAATATTTTATAAAAAATAATTTTTTTTTAAATTTTCTTTCTTTTCTTTTTTTTTTAGGTATTAATGACTTTATGAGGAAGCAAAATAATTTAAAATTATCTGGTTTTCAATAAATGAGGTTAGTGGCGAAAATTTTTCAATAATTGGTCAGATTCACTTGAAACTTGTTACTCGGGGGGTTTCAAGTTTGCTTATTAAGAATCTGAACTCTGATTTTTAAAATTTCAAATGACAAATTCAAAACTGTTGACTAAATTTTCTTAAATGCTTTAAATTAAAAGATTTGTTTTGAATGTTAAAATCTTCTTTAAAAAAATTTGTTTATTTAACAAAAAACTAAAATGCTTTAAATAACGCTTAATATAATAATAATAAATAAACAAATAAATAAATAAATTGTAATATGTATAAGAATTTAAAAACATTTAGTAAGTAGTATTGAATTTTACATTTAGAATTTTAAAACTCTGTGTTCAGATCCGTAATAAGCGAACCAAAAATGTCTCTAGTAAAGAGTTTCCAGTAAATCTGATTATTTATTTAAAAAAATTTTGATATTGTGCATTTGTCATTTTGATAAACTGATTCCAGATTCATAATCAGAGATACAAAAAACTCCAGGGTAACAAGTTTGAAAGCAAATCCGATCACTTTTTAAACAAAATTTCCCCATATTGGATTCACCATTTTGAGTTTTTAAAAATCTAACTACTCATTTGTAATCATCAGGAACCTTAAAAACTATTATGACCACTGCAGTTATGGATACAGTAGTTCTCAATTTTGTCTAGAAGGAGAGAGATATAATAATCTATATTTATAAACATATTTTTTTAAAACCAGATAATTTTAAACTAATTTTTATGCCAGGTTTCGAAAAATTTGCTCAAAATCTATTTAAAAATATATGTTCTATTAAAGAAGCACAACTTCTAAACGTGCATAATGATGAATAATAGAGCTTTTTTTTTTACTAAAAATGGTGACTTCCATTTACGTTTTTAAGCTTACAAAGTATATTTTACTGCTACGTTCTATTCTTCTTGTACTCTGTAGACACAGGTCTATAATCTCGAAAAAGATCTTTTCATATATATTGTTATACTTCAAAGTTCTAAGAATTTAGTATAAAATTTGAGAAAATCACCCACAGTGAAATTGTAGAAGTTCAACTACTGAACTTGTACAGGAAAATGTTACGTAATCAATATATAGGTGTGCTAACGTGACATTATACATAAATATACTTTAAAATTTACCAATGAATTTAAGTAAATTTAAAACTAAAGTTTCACATCCATATTAACATTAATATTGTTAATAATGCATTTTATATTAATATGTAATAATTACATTTTTTTCAAAATCACAGATGACTTTGTTTTAATATTCAGTGTGACGAATAATTAATAGTTGCAATAAAACTAGTTTGCGTTTTACGTCTACAGCAAAAGGCAGATAAACTAAATTCGCCAGCATGTTTAACCCTTAGGCGCCTACACATTGATTAATTACATCAACGACAAAATGGTTTCCCTAAAAGCAAAAATATGCAATATTTATCGTTCACAAAAATTTATACCTACATGTAATCTAGAAATTTATTTTGCTTTGACCCTATAATTTATAAAGATCGATTTCCAGAAACAAATCTCACACAAAATTATGAAATGATCTGTATAATAAAATTGTTTTTAAATTTATTTTACAATGGATCACAATAGCCTGGAGATACCGAAAAGCTGGACAAAACCTCAAAATTAAAATTTTATAAAATAAAATATGTACTTGAAAAATCGTTAGTTGTGTACACGGAAAAACTTTGTACAAGAATCATTCCTAAATTTGTTCAGGAACTGAGGTTATGAGAATAATTTAAGAAATCTTATTTATATTTTCTTTGAAAAATTCTAAACAGTATTTCTATAAGAATTATAGAGAAATTCAAGACAGACTTCCTAAACTCACTACAGAAAGTCTTGAACTTGTTTTAGAATAAATTTTTACGTTTGCGAGAAAAAAATTTACTCTGGGAGGACTCGATCCCACGTCCTCGAGAGTCCAAAAACTCCGCTTTACATCTCTCAGCTACCTTAGCAGCTTATGGTATTATGCATTGGAAACATATTTGACGCAACCAATCCCTGCCTAGTGCTTGGTTACTGTACTGTGTATTCTAAAACAGTTCAAGAAACTTTCAACGCCCAGTGACTGAGATATTCCGATCGCGGCATTAACAAGAAGTCTTTCAATGTTATAATAAAAATACAAGTATTTCCTTGAATGATTTTTGTATTTTTCTGTAAATTTTGCAGAATTTTTCTCATATCCTCAGTTCCTGAACAAATTTAGGAATGATTCTTGAACAAAGTTTTTCCGTGTATTTAATGAATGCTGTAATAAAAGAATAAATTGAAAAACTCTGTATTTTCGTTGGTACAGAATTTTGAAGTGGACATGTCAGTAGACCAGATGAAAAGTTAGAATGTAGATATAAATTAACTGTTGTTTAAATGCCCATAAGTTTTGTGTAAATTATTTTTTTTTTGCTTTTGTGTAATATGGAGGTAATATGGCACCTAAAAGGAATATATTTCACGAATTTATATTAGATATTCATTTAACCTTCGCCTGACAAGATACCCACCAAGGCAAGGATGGGTCAGACCAAATTGACATTGTCATATCTTCTAAAGTTTTGCCTAAATTGAATCGCGATTTTAAGTCACTGAACAAAATCTTAAGAATTTTCAAAAAATGTAGAAACAATTTTTTTTTTAAAAATTGCTTCTTGATTATTTATAACTTTTATCAATGTATGTATGTACGGAGATAACCGGGACGATTCAAATATTTTTTTAATTCTATTTTACAAAAAGACTTAAAATCATCCAGACTTTTCACTGTAAGTGTTTTATGTTGTCAAATAACGGATATAAAAATATTAAATTACATTTTTTATTTGTTTAAAAATTTTATTGTTTTTATTTATTAACTTTTTTTGTTCTGTACCTAGAAAGATGCATTTTTTTCCTAATTTTGCAATTTATCAAACCGAATATAATAAAAGATAGATTTGATGTCAAATTATTAATTTAACAATTGTTTAAACAATGTATTGTTGTTATTTACTAACTTTTATTGTAGTGCACCTAGAAAGTTTCCTTTTTTTCTAATTTTGTAACTCATAAAGCCGAATATAATAACAGATAATAAAAGTTAATAAATAACAAATATTATTTGTTTAAACAAATGTTTAAATAGTAAACTCATATAAAACCTTTATGCTATTATATTATGCTTGTTAAGTTGTAAAATTACACGGAAAAATAAGTTCGTCAATCATTAACAGAATAGTCTGTCACTTTGAGACGGGACATAAAATCGTTTAAAGGTTAAAAGTCTCTGTTTATTACTATTTAGAAAGAATTCATGAACCTTTAAAGAATGTTCACTAAAATTTAGAAAACTGTTTGTTAAATTATCTATGACTGTCAAAAAATAGTTAGACCGATGAATAACAAAAAAAAATTATTTTTTATCACAATTATTGGTAATTTCAAACACTGATTGGCACAGAATGATAATACACTTTCTCGTTGCACAGTTCGATGATTTTTTTTTACACTTTAAGAGCATTTGAACCTTCGTGACGTCACAAATCATGGCGCATGACACGCAAACTTCTCAGGTATATGAAAAGCACAATTTTGAATATTTTTTAAAAAAACCTTTTGGAAAATGTTCAGAATAACATAGACTCTGTCTGTTATGTGCGGAAAATTCAAAATTTTGCGTTTAAAACGTTTTTTAAACAATGTTAAGGTCACAAATCATGGCGCATGACACGCAAACTTCTCAGGTATGTGAAAAACACAATTTTGAATATTTTTTAAAAAAACCTTTTGGAAAATGTTCAGAGAAACATAGACTATGTCTGTTATGTGCGAAAAATTCAAAATTTTGCGTATAAAACGTTTTTTAAACAATGTTTAAGTTGGTTGTCACAAGTAAGGAAAAATACACGAATTGCTTATATGTAGGCATTGTTTAAAAAACGTTTTAAACGCAAAATTTTGAATTTTTCGCACATAACAGACAGAGTCTATGTTATTCTGAACATTTTCCAAAAGGTTTTTTTAAAAAATATTCAAAATTGTGCTTTTCACATACCTGAGAAGTTTGCGTGTTATGCGCCATGATTTGTGACGTCACGAAGGTTCAAATGCTCTTAAACACATTTACGAATTATGACGCATATAACCTGAACCTAACTTACATATATATTTGCATACTTAAAAACTACACATACAAACGCACGCTTATAACACTAAAAGTCACTGTTCTTATATACTACATGACGAGATTTCTTTACTACTTTCGAGAAAAGGTTTTTGCACTGAACATCACATAACATCACGATATTGACTGCAAACTATTTGTTGAATTTCATATTGACATTTTATGTATATAGTGTATAGCAGAAATATATCACTTAACTTCGCTTAGAGTGAAAATTTACCGATAAATTGTTTAAAAAAATGATATAAAAGTGAAAAATAAAGGTAAATTAGTGTTTATATACATGATTTGTGGAAAAATTGAGATAACCCTGGCGGATTTAAACGAAAATATTGGTTAAAAAAATTTATTATTTAAACAAACATATTGGTGAGAAATTTTTTTTTTATTAAAAATATTGTTGGAAAAAATGGATTATTTTTTCAAAAATATGTTTGACAAATCATTATTTTTAAAGAAATATTCAATAAAAAACATTGTTTTATCAAAAATAATATTTTTTTGATAAAATAATACATTTTTTCACCATTATTTCCGTTTAAATAATTTTTTCAACTTTTTTTTATAACAAAATTCATTTTCTTCACAAAGATTTTTTATGAAAATATAAATTTTTTTGATAAAATAATATATTTCTTTACCAATATTTCCGTTTAATAAATAAGAGATGATAAAAAAAATACAGAAAAAATTTAAAAAGAAAAAAAGAGTTCTGCCACCTACTTGCTAAAAAGCGCGTCTCTATTGATATTATCGAAGAAATGTTGATAATAAACTGTAATAGATTGAAATTAATAAATACATTAAATTTTTATAATTATTTAACAATAATCATCTTAAAATGCATAAAACTTATTGATTTTAATAGGTAATTATACTATCAATTTCATAATTTTTTATACATTTCAAACAGAATTTCAATCTCAACCTCGTGTTCCACGAATTTTCCGCGAATTTCGTAAAGCATTCGCATCGCATACAATCCGCCAGGGTTATCACAATTTTTCCACAAATCATATATATAAACACTAATTTACCTTTATTTTTCACTTTTATATCATTTTTTAAAACAATTTATAGGTAAATTTTCACTCTAAGCGAAGTTGAGCAATTTCTAAGCGAAATCGCTTAAAATACGTTTGAACCAATCCGCCAGGGCGTTTCACGGACTTTTCACTAATGATTTGTAAACGTTTACTAAAGTTGCGCACACTTGTATAGTATTCGATAAATTCTTTACTTTTAAAGAATTCAGTTATAAATATTTGAAAGTTTAAATGACTTTTAATAAATATTAAGTACACTACCGTCCGAAATTGTGCGAACTCTGCTTTTTCAACAACTATAAAACTGTTCAAATCTTTAAAAATATTAAAACTAAAATTTTTTCCTCTTTATTTTATTAAAGCTAATAAGAGTCTGAAAGAAATGACACCTTGACAAAGAGAATATGTTAATTTTTCAATTAGATATCTAAGAAAAACCCAATTTTCAATGTTTTTACTATTTTTTATATTTCTCTGGCAAAAATTAATATTTTTAAACGTTCTTAGGCTCATTGAAGTCGTATTTTGTTATGCAATTCAAATTATATAAAACAATTCATGTACACATTCTTCCCTAGCGTATGCAAACCATGAAAGTTGGCTCATAAAATGTCAAAAAATTGTGATTAATATTTATATGACAAAAAATGATCAGTAAAATGTATAAATCTTAAATTTACTTACATAAATCAGAGAAGTTTAGAATGATATATTTACTTGATTTTTAAACATTATATTTTATTGTAGAATTAAATTTAAATTTTTTGACATTTTATGAGCCAACTTTCCCGGTTTGCATACGCTAGGGAAGAATGTGTACATGAATTGTTTTATATAATTTGAATTGCATAACAAAATACGATTTCAATGAGCCTAAGAACGTTTAAAAATATTAATTTTTGCCAGAGAAATAAAAAAATAGTAAAAACATTGAAAATTGGGTTTTTCTTAGATATCTAATTGAAAAATTAATATATTCTCTTTGTCAAGGTGTCATTTCTTTCAGAATTTTATTAGCTTTAATAAAATAAAGAGGAAAAAATTTTAGTTTTAATATTGAAGATTTGAACAGTTTTATAGTTGTTGAAAAAGCAGAGTTCGCACAATTTCGGACGGTAGTGTACCTTTCAAACATCTATTCCTGATAGTTTAACATTGAATCAAAAATAACTGCTAATATACTAAATTCTAAAAATTCTATGACTTGTTTTTAATATTTCAACCATGTTTTTAAGTTATTGAAGAAGCTTAACTAAAATTTTACGGAAAAAGTGTCCCGTCTCAAAGTGACAGACTAGTCTCTTAATGATTGACGATCTTATTTTTTCCGTGTAGGAAAAAATTGCAACTTTCTTGGAACATTATGAAAAAAATCTAATATGGCAAACATAAAATTAAAAAAATTATTGGATTTTAATAGAACGTCGTATTTAAAGGTATTTTGGCTCTCTGCTTAAGAATCTAAAGTCAATTTTTTTAATTCAAAATGGTAGATTTAATATAATTGATAATTTTTACTACTTTTTATAAAGCTTGGTTTTGAGGATTTTATAGTCACAAGTTACGAATCTGTATTTAAACTTTTTTTTAAATAGTTGAATATAGTTGTGTTTCGGAAAAATTATTTTATGTGTAAATTTAGTATATTATAGTTTTGAATGTAACAGGTTATTAATCTGTAATTAAAATTAGGTACTCTGAAAACTGTGTTTTATTATAATACAACAATTTTTCACATTTGATGTCCGCCATATTGGATCAGTCATTTTGAAGTTTTAAAACCAAACTAGATATGTAATCAGCAACTCCAAAAAACCCCGAGTAACTAGATTCATGAAAATCCATTAAAAATTCATCGAGTAAATAGTTTTGTCCTGTTAAATTCGGGTATCAGAACACTGTGATAAAGGTGTCTCTATTTGTAATATTTTTTTAGTTTTTAAATGTTAAAATTCTTGTTTTTATCTGATGTAACTTCCCGGATAAAAAAACTTGTACAAGAAAATGTACAAGTTCTTGTACATGTTCATGATTGAACTTGTACATTTTCTTGTACATGTTCAAGTAATGTCCTTGAACAAGTTCAGCATCTAGAATTGAGACATGTTCTTGTATCAGAACTTGTAGAAGATCCTGGACAAGAAAATAAACTTGTACAATAAAATGTACCTGTGTTTTGTACATATTTTTTAGTGCAGGTTTCATGTACATTTTCTTGTACCAGATGTGAAACATGTTCTTGTACATATTCATTTATATTTTTTAAATTAAAAAATTTGAAGGCTGCGCAGTAGTTTTCTAAGCCTTTACAGCTGCGCAATAATTTTTAGCATACATAAGTGAAGAGTCTTAATAATTATAACTTATTAAAATTTAAAATTTTTTTCAAAAACATTTTTTATACAAATGTTCTTGTTCAAGAACATAAACCTGTTCATGTAAAAGTACTTGTACATGAAACCTGCACACAAGAATATGTAAAAGAACATGTACATTTTATTGTACAAGTTTATTTTCTTGTCCAGAAAATTCTACAAGTTCTTATACAAGAACATGTCTCAATTCTGGATGCTGAACTTGTTCAAGAACATTACTTGAACATGTACAAGAAAATGAACAAGTTCATTCATGAACATGTACAAGAACTTGTACAAGTTTTTTCAGCCGGGTTGTCACCCCCATGGTAATCGCTAATTAAAAACACTAAGGTTGCGACCTGACAATAAAACCAAATCAAAATCTCAAATTTAATTCAAAAAACCTTAAATCTAGTGACAAAGTCACTATACTAGTCACCCTGCAGAGTAGGATTTTACGGTAATCGATATGTCAAATACTTTTTATTTTGATTGATACAACGATATTAATTCGATATTATATTGAGATAAATTAAAAATATTAAAATTAAGTTACTAAAAAATTAAAGAATTTTTTAAATGTAATTGCGAATCTGAAATGCTTGTTTGAGAATTCAATTTTTTTTAGAATGAACTGTATTATCAAAAATGATGAATATTTGCTCATATTACGTCTACGATTAACAGATTGCATCCGACAATTTCGGAATTAGTTAGAATTGTATGCAGGTAGGCGTGAATATAATGTATTAAGGTCTTAGACAAAATAGATTTGTACTTACAGTAATTATAGGAGGATGGATCTATATGAGCAATAAAGAAAATCATTTTAATTTCGATTTGAAAATTAAAATATCATCGACGATATCAAGTCTTTTGTAATTGTGAATTATTTTCCAATTATTTACTTTGCTAAGTCAATTAACTGTACGAAAGTTTATTTTTAGAGCATTTCATCAAACGAAAAATCAAATAAAGTTTTATTCCGTATACGTATGTAACATATTCTGACGGTTAGAATGAAATGTTAACAATATGTAAATGTTGATAATTAATTACCTATAATTAACAAACCTTAGAAGAATTAAAACTTTTTAGCAATCCTAGTGAAAAGAGAGGAATTGAAAAAAATTGAAAATTTTTAATTCTTCTGAATTTCGTTTCTGTCCAATTCTTTTGTATCCATCTTGAGTTCTCGAAAATAATGCCAGTTGAATTCTTTTTAATTCCGTTTTAAAATTTTGTGCTGAAAAAAATTTGACGGTCCGAAGATTTGAACTTTCGATTTATAATGTCGGAGCCTTACAACTGTTCCGCGCAACTGTATCAACTGAACTTTAGATATTAGATTTTAAACGTACTTACTTTAGAGTATTACGGAATTTAAAAGAATTAAAAAGTTAGCGAAATATCAAAACAGAATTAATAGGAATTGAGTTTCAAGCATAACTGAAATATTTAGTCCGAATTACTTATTCAGTATTTTTGAATTCAAAAGAATTAAAAAATTAGAGAAATATTAAAATAGAATTAATAGGAATTGAGTTTCAAGCAATCTTAGTTTCAACAAGGAATACATAGGAAACGGACACAAACCGAATTCAAAAAAATTAATAATTTATTATTTTCAATGGAAAGTTAAAATTTTTTAATTCTTTTGAATTCATCACTTCTTACTGGGATTTAACGCTAAACTCTTCTTATATACATTCACTACATGGTTAATATCTATGATTTTTACATTTTTTTCTAGTATGATATTTTGGATAGAAATTTCAATATTTCTTTCGGTATAAAAAATTTTATATTTTTATTTTAAACCCTATTGAAAAAAACACGTATAATTATACGTATAATAATACGTATAATTGTACGTATAATTATACGTATAATTTTACGTATAATTATACGTATTATTATACGTATAATTATACGTATTATTATACGTACAATTATACGTATTATTATACGTATAATTATACGTATTATTATACGTATAATTATACGTATTATTATACGTACAATTATACGTATTATTATACGTACAATTATACGTATAATAAGACATACGAATTTGAAACAAGAATTATACGTATAATTATACGTATAATAATAGGTATAATTAATTATACGTATAATTATAATTCTATTAAAAATAGAAGAATAGAATAGATTAATTAGTAGCAAAATTGCGCTGAAAATTTTTAGAAATTTTAAAATGCAAATTAAATTTCACGAAAAAAAATATCGTCGAATGTCAATTCAAGCAGTCACCCATCCAAGTACTAACCGCGTCCAACGTTGCTTAACTTCTGTGATCTGATGAGAACTTGTTCCTTCGCCTTGGTGTTTCCGCTGTCTTGTCTTGATTACTAACTTTGTCGTATAAGTACACTAGAACGTCAATCGAGAACAGACGAATGTGCAGTGCTGTTCTCGATTGACGCGATTTTTATCGCTCGAAAATAAAAACACTCAGGGCCGTATGAAGGGCCTTACGCAACAATGTGAATTCTATCTAGGGGATTTTCACTAGTGGGGCACTGAATCCACCTTAAATTTAAAAATCACAAGTACGACTTTGGCGTCAGTCATAACCTAAATTCTACCCGCTTCCCCACTTCCCTTCAAGTGTTTCCTAGCTCTGTTCTCGACTGACGTGTTCTCGATTGACGTTCTAGTGTATAACTAAAAGTGAGGTTAGGTGCGATACAATACTTATACGACAAAGTTATTAATCAAGACAAGACAGCGGAAACACCAAGGCGAAGGAACAAGTTCTCATCAGATCACGGAAGTTAAGCAACGTTGGACGCGGTTAGTACTTGGATGGGTGACTGCTTGAATTGACATTCGACGATATTTTTTTTCGTGAAATTTAATTTGCATTTTAAAATTTCTAAAAATTTTCAGCGCAATTTTGCTACTAATTAATCTATTCTATTATTCTAGTTTTAATAGAATTATAATTATACGTATAATAATACGTATAATTATACGTATTATTATACGTATAATTAATTATACCTATTATTATACGTATAATTATACGTATAATTCTTGTTTCAAATTCGTATGTCTTATTATACGTATAATTATACGTATAATAATACATATAATTATACGTATAATAATACGTATAATTATGCGTATAATTATGCGTATAATTATACGTATAATTATACGTATAATAATACGTATAATTATACGTATTATTATACGTACAATTATACGTGTTTTTTTTCAATAGGGAAAGTATTTTTATATTATTTTTTAAAATAATTTATTATTTATAATTTGAGAAATTCAATTTGAGCATGACTATGGGTCGGGTGGTAAGCACCCAAGTTATGTTATAAACGTTGTAAAAATCTTTCAAATAATTAAAATGTTATTCAATTATATTTTTTGTCCAAACCGTAAAAATGTTCTTAAATAATAAAAATAAAGCTTTCAAACTCCTAATTTAATATTCTATTCTGTCTATAAGCTTCAATTCACAAATTCTATTGTTATTTCTAACATTTCTTAACCACTTCACTGGCGGGCGTTCGCCCTCTTAGTGAAGGAGTTAACTATGTAGCTTGCAAAAATATTTAGTATTGCAATAGAATTCAATAATTTCGTTATTAAACAAAAGTTATTCAATTTTTGCACAAGTCAAAACAAATGTTTAAAAAATATGTCGGAAATTTGTGATAAATATTTATATTTATATTAAATTGAGATTTTAAGTAAAGACGTATATTTGCCTTTTGAGAAAATACGTTAAAGTTGTCAGTAACAATAATATTTAAGTCTCGAGAAATGATCTTTTAATTATAGTCTTTCTTTTAGTCTTCTTTTAATTATCACTGCCCCACAAAAAAGTATCTTGCCCGACAGACCAGAGTATCATACTCCCAAGTATTTTGGTGCGCTGAATATGAATCTGAGGTCAGATTTACTCCATCACGTCAGAATTTTTCTCTAACCTGAAAAAACATGTCAGATTTTACGTAGAATTCAATATTTTTTAAAAAATTAGTTAAATTCACTAAAAATTTGTTTCTCAGGGGTTTTTGGGGTCGCTCATGAATCTGAGGTTGATTCCACAATGGGTTAAATCAAATCGTGAGTCTTAAAGTCAGTTTCAATGACGAAACGATGAGTGCACATGTATTGCCAACTGTTTGGGAAAAAATATTTTTACATATAAATTATTGAATTAAGATTATGTCCAAGGTGCGAAGTTTGTTAACAAACTAAACGGACGGCAAACACTGCGAAATTTTTCGCTGCTCCTATTTGAAAAAGAAATAAAATTTTTAATTTTTTTTTTGCATTTTTAAAAGAACATACGAAGTTTGGTAACTACACTTTATTTAATTAAAAACGAACAAAATAAATGACATTATTAAATAAATAAATACGTACAGTTTCATTACACATGTAAGCTATTTTGTCGCTGTTCCTATTTCCACAAAACACAATAAATCACTACCACCTTTTTTATACTACAAGTTTATATTGTAAATTTGGTAACTACACTTTATTTAACTTAAAAAAACAAGAGAAATGAAATTAAAAAAATACATACAGTTTCACAGCTTTTTTATTGAATTTTGGCGCTGTCCTGATTTCAACAAAACACAATAATTCACTATCACCTTTTTTATACTGAAAGTTTAAACTCTAAATTTGGTAACTAAACATTATTTAAGTAAAAAAGAGAAAAAGAAATTAATATTATTTATACATAAATACGTACAGTTTCATGGCATATGTACGCTTTTTTGTTGCTGTTCCTATTTCCACAAAATACAGTAAATCTCTATCACCTTTTCCACAATGAAACTTTATATATTCAATTATGTAACTACATATTTTTCCGATCCGAGAAAGTCCAAAAAGTATTTTTATTTGAGAGTAAAAACATAAGAAAATGTCAACAATACGAAAAGAAGGACACCATATTGTTTTCTTTGTCAAATTTGATAATATGCAACCCATCTTGCTTCGCTGTGCGAAAAAATATATTAAACATTAAAATTTTTTGCTGCACGCGCTGAAAGCAATAACATAACCTCATTTCATAATTGTTAGTACAGAATGCCATCAACATGACAGATAGTAGTATAGCAAAGCCGATTCTGCGACATGTTCGGATTACCTTCAGTCGGTAATGGAGATTTCTACTTTATCAGCAGTCGGTAAGGTAGGAATCTGACAAAAATTTCAACTCGACCGATAAGGTAGGAAACTTTCTTACCGACCGAACATTGAAGTTAGTTTACCGACTACCTGATAGATGGCACTGACTGAATATGTGTTGACCTGCGAAGCGTCCTAAAATTAGACCATCCTTGATGAGTGCGAGGTCACGATTGCACTCATCAAGGATTCTCTTGAATTACTCGCGAGTTTTCAAAATGGCGTTGTTAAAAACGAATTTATAACACGATGGGTTGCAGAATGTTCTTGCAACGAACAAGTTTTAATTGGTCTTTTAAGATCCATGCATTTTACGCATGAAAAAAGTCGTTTCCAGAACATTCTGCAATCTATTATGAGATTTAGAGTTTTGTTCGAATCTCAAGCGGTAGAGGGCGGTCGTCGCTACAAGACTCAAATATTAATAATCGCGTGCGTTGGGTTATATGTCAGTCAGCGTTTAAATGCCGGTTGTATACATATGTTATATTAAATATTTTACACGTAGATATAGGTGCGTTTTTGAACAATGCGACCATTTTGTTTCAAGAGCACATTAAAGATGCCTTGAATCAAAATGGCCCTATCATCGTATACGGTGTTTTGACTGTTAATTTTAAAAGAGTGCAGAATGAAGAAGAGGTAGTGCAGCCAATTACATTTTCTTCTAAATCCATCAGCATCTTTCCCACAACTTCATATGAATTTCCACTATGTTTGGATTAAAGACACGACGAAAATTGTAAACGTATGCCGCGTAAAATTACTGAATGCTGAAAAGAGGTCGTCCATAAACTACGTAGCCCCATTTTTTCGAAATTTTAAACCCTCCCTCCCCCCATGTAGCACGCTGTTACATGTATTAGAGCCATTTTTTCCTCTTATCGTAGACAATAGCTCGACCCCCCCTCACCCTTGAAGTGCTACGTGGTTTATGGACGACCCCAAATTGTAAAATTATCTTTAAAAATTATGGTAATAAGGAGAAAGTTGCTTTTGTCATCTATGCCGACTGTGAAAGTTTACTTCTTCTTGTTAAAGAAGATACAGATAATTTAAGTAAAACTGAAATTTTCCAGGGTCATAAATTGCTTAGTATAGGTTTTTATGTAAAATGTAGTTACGATGACTCATTGTCCGTGTATGTGGCAGGAAAATGATCCAACCAAGTGATTTGCTGACGAGTTAAGACAATTTTCCGTGAAAATTGATAATGTATTTAAGAATCCTATTCCTATGGATGCCTTAACTCCTCAGCAAATTGTTGATTTTAAGAAAGCGAGCGTATGCCATATTTGCCGTAAGAATATACTAGCTAATGTTAAAAAGGTTCGTGGTCATTGTCATCTTACTGGAAAATATAGAGGTGCTGCGCATGAATCGTGCAGCTTAAATTATCATGAGTGCCAAATCGTAGCCATTGTATTTTACAATTTATGTGGGTACGATGCACACTACATACATGCTGTATCGACGAGCTTTGAAGGTCGAGTTAACCTCCTCCCCTTGAACAAGGAGAAATATATCTCCTTTACGAAAAATATCAAGGGTTCATTGACTCATTTAGATTCATGGCAGCATCTCTAGAAAAATTAGCGTCATATTTTGACAAATATAAAATTGTTGAATCCGTATTTGCCAGTACGGTGACAGATCGCGAAAAATTAAATAATTAACGCGAAAAGGTGTCTGAATTTAATTGTCAAACCTTTAACGATTACGTTTACCTTTATATGAAAACAGACGTATTATTACTTGCCGATGTCTTTGAGAACTTTCGCGAACAATGTTTAAAGGCGTACAGGTTAAATGCATCACACCATTATAACGGTTAACTTGGGATGCTATGCTGAAATATACGGGCATAACATTACAACTTATAACCGATATAGACATGATGATGTTTATTGAGTCGGGTATCAGAGGTGGTATTAGCCAGTTTTGTAACCGTTATGCTAAAGCGAACAATCCCTATATGGATCAGTTCGATCCTGCCCAAGACGCCCAATATATTATGTATTTTGACGCGAATCATTTATATGGTTGGGCAATGGCACAAACGCTACCAATTGGCGGTTTTAAGTGTAATGCCAACCCAGACGAGACCATTGATTTCAACATACCTGACGACTCTTCAGTCGGGTACATGTTGGAGGTCGATCTCGAATATCTCGAGATCCTCCACGATTCTCAAGACATGCCGTTTTGCGCAGTTAATGCAAAACCTCCCATGTCTAAGCAGGAGAAATTACTCACAACTCTCCTGCCTAAAGAGAAGTACGTGCATTGAAACAGGGTCTTGGAAACGGTCTCAAACCCAATTTCCACAGTCGTGCAATATTCGATGAAGACCTTGTGGGCATTAAAGCAGGAGTCCTCAAAAAGTCTATTCAATTTGACGATTACGTTGAGTGTCTGCGCAATTTTAAGATTCAGGCTAGAACCCAATACAACATTAGGTCACGGTTACATGATTTAGAAACAGTTAAACGAGTTAAAGTAGCATTGAGTCCGCATGATGATAAAAGGTACTTGCTTACCGAGAATACTGATACTCTGTCCTAGGTTACTACAGGATCCCAGAAATCAAAGATTGGAAAAAAATTTGTAAAATAAAATGTAAGGATTTTCATGTTAAATAAATGTAAAAAATATTATAACTTTCATGTATTTTATATTTATAAAAACCTTGTATATACATAACTCATGATTAAAATAAACATTTTTTTAATTTTTATATTAATAAAACAAAAATAAAAAATTGCTTTCTATAATTTTGTTCTAATAATAAACATTGACAATGCAAAATTTGAATGTTAATCTTAAAATTGAAACAAGCAGAAATCAATTTTAAACAATTATCACATAGTGAATTTAATACTCTCTATAATGTAACTGTTTAAAAAATAAAATTTAAACATTATTGTAGAACTCAAGTCCTGGAATAAGATCTTCCACAAAGTGCAACATATTTTTATGATATGCGCGTTGTAGTTTTACGTTATTTAATATTAAATCATTGTTGAATCATTATTGATTCATTATTGATTCTTTGTTTAATCATTATTGACTCATTGTTGATTCATTTTTGAACTTTGATAAAGCAGATTTACTAATATATCAAATTTTAAAATAATACAATTTTCATTTAACAAAATTTATGTATAGAATAATTTCCATAAAGAAGAATTATTATTTATTAAAATTGTTCTTTTGTCAAATTTCTATTTATCCGAATATTCACTTAAAAGTATTTTTATTAACAGAATTTCCAATTAAAAGAATTTCTATATAACAAAATTCCTATTTAACAAAACTGTTATTAGTAAATAAAATTTCTTTAATATTTAATTTTTATTTAAGGGTATGTGGGAACATCCCACGTGACCTAGTTTTTGGAAAAAATGTGTTTTGGTATTATACATCTTACTCTAAAATAAGAAAATATTTCTGTCTAAAATTTTGAGGGATGATAGATTTGGGTTCAAGGAATCTCGCTGTTCTCCAAAAAATACATAATTTTTCGTTAAATTATTATAAAATAAAGTTTAAAAAGTGTCATTTTTAAACGAAAATGAAAAAAAATGGCTGCGCATACACAGACGTTGCGTGAGTGTGTCAGTGCTCCAGGGAACAGCGCCAATTCGAGCAAGTGGTCACTGAATGAACTATGATAAAAGACATTATTTTACTATTTATTGCTTTATTTTTATTATTTTTGCGTTATGTTATACTAAATGTAAAGAGCAGCGAGATTCCTTGTACCAAACAAAATCATTGCTCCATAATTTTAATTCGAAATAATTTTTTATTTCAGAGAATGTTTCAAACCACAAATAAACGTTCTTAGCCCACATACCCTTAATAGAATTTTCATTTAACAGAAATTTTACTCAGCTAAATTTTGAAGACAAAGAATTTCTATTACACCGATACTTTATTTGGCCGAAGTTTCACTTATCCGAATTTCGTTAGATAGAATCATAGACATTGGGCCCAACATTTTTCTTCAAATAAATGAATTTAAAATAATTTAACATATTAGAAATTCGAAGCTAATTTTCGCATTAGGCCTAGCTTTCTCCTTACGAAACATGTTGTTGGTTTAAAGGCATACACTCGACTAATAGTCATACAACCAATCACCTTCTATTTATAGTGTTATGAAACAGTCAAAACTTTTCCTATATCTCCCCTCATTTAGATTGCAGTCTTTATCAATGACTACGAAGCCATATTTACCAGAGTTCCAACATGCTGTACAAAGCTCACGAAACTTGGTAAATGTCATGTGAGTATTAACATGATCATCATAAGCATGTTTCAAATTTGTTTCATCCTAACGAAAAAAGAACTAATAAATTAACATTACCTCTCACTAAATGTTTAGGAATTCTCGCATATGTCTGACACAGATAAAAGCAATCAACATTGACATGTCTACCCATGCAGAAGAAAGCTCTTATATTATCTTGCTTTTCACAAGCAACGTCATCAAATATAAAAATAGAATTTGGCTTTGCACCTTTAGGGGAAATTACATCCTCATTCTCGCTAAATAGTAAATATTTAATCCCCTTAAATTTACCAATAACTTTTTCCAAAAATTTGTACTTTAGTTAGTGGAGAGATTTTGAGCAGAAATAAATATTATTAAATCTCAGACTATTTGAATGTAATATTAAAGAAAGTAGTACATTTGTTTTACCACAATTTGATGGTCTACAAAATATTGCTCGAATACTACCAGACAACAAACTACCATAACGCTTCACTTACTTCTTATCGTGATGTTCTACAATCGCATCCAGATTCACTACTGGATTCTTGTGATGTTGTTGCTTGAATCACCTTCTGAAATATACTGTCGCAAAAGGTATAAATACAGCTCTTATATAGCTTACGAGTCATTCTACTTTTAACTTTCATAGAGTGAGGTATGATTATACATCACCGCTCCCGAGGTAAAAGTTTAGTTAACAGTCTTATAAATAAGTTATAATTTGAATCACACATGCCTAGTTATCAGTACTGTGGTCCAGGTACTAAGTTAATAAAGCGTTTAGTACGAGGTGATACAGGTATAAATCCATTAGAAGAAGCTTGTAAAGAGCATGATAATGCATATTTAGAAAATCATAATAACGTTCAAGCAAGAAACGCTGCTAATAAGATATTTGCTGATAAGGCGTGGCAACGAGTTTTGGGAAGCGATTCCAGTGTAGGTGAAAAAGATGCTGCTTTAGCTATATCTGGTACATTGAAGGTCAAATCAAAATTAGATATGGAAATGAGAAGAAAGAAGACATCTAAAAATAAGAAGATACAAACAGTATTAAGAAAAATTATTGATGCTGCTAGACATTCCATTATTCCAGGAAATGATGCTCATTCTACAATCAAAGCTGCAGTTGAAAATGCTCGAAAAGCTATTAGAAGAGCAGGTGGTAGAAGTAAGATTTTAACACCTCACATTCTACCAGTTCCTTCAAAAGATGGTGGTCTCTTGACATTAATTTCAATTTTTGCTTGACTCAGTGCTCTTGGAGCTTTTGCTGGTAGAACAGCAAGTACAGCGAAAGTAGTAAACAACGCGAATGCAGCAAAAGAGAAGTTGAAAGAAGCTCATCGTCACAATAGAGTAATAAAAGATGTTGCTTTAGGTAAAAGTCTTTTCTTGAAACTCTATCGATAGAGATTACGACTATTTGAAACCTTATTCTAAAGGATTAGGTATGAAGCAAAAAAAGTTCTCATAAAACTATCTCACGAGCATTAACTAACTATGATTTGCACAAATACGCTAAAGAGTTAAAAATTCCTCATTTTCGAGGAGTATTTATACGAAATGAGTTGCCAATAGGAGGACCTCGAAAAAATGAATCTGACATTATTAATCTCGATAATAAGGATGATCTCGCAACACATTGAGGGTGTTTTCGGCATTCACTCAGAGTTAACTCTAGAGTTAGCAGTGGTGCTCAAATGTAAATTTTGATTTTCAGTTCGTCTGTTGGTTGTGAACGTTGTTGATTGGCAATTTGGCATAGACGATTCATTTTGATTGGCGCAGGGTTTGCAATTGTAACAACATGTGAAACGGGCCTTTTATTCTAGTAATGTAATGTTAAAATAAAATTTTTTGTTTCTAGATTTCATAAAAGTCCCCAAAAATTTATTACTAGATGACCCAGAGTTAACTCTGTTTTCTTGCGAGAGTAAAGAAAAAGGGTCAGTCCTAACCTTTAATGGCCGACAAAATTTGTGAACGGATTGTTTGTTTTGAAAAGTGTAAATTGAAACATAATAATTTATTTTTATTAAAAATTATTTTAACTTTTTATTTATAAAAAACAACTTTAATTAAAATAAATAATCTAGTTTCTAAAACAATTCAGATTAATTAAAGTTAGGGAAATAATGAAAAATTTGAAAATTATAAACTTTAAAAAAATAACACGTTTATGGGTAGCAAAAATATGTTCTATTTTTAAATGAAAAACAAAAAATACGTATAAATTAAAAAAAAGTAAGCAAACAAGGACAACTAACTTCAAACTCAGGGTGATGAAAATAGAAAATCAATTATTTTATTTAGGTAAATAAATTTTCAAAGATAATATCATTGAGCACCACTATTAACTCTAGAGTTAACTCTGAGTGAATGCCGAAAACACCCTGAGTTGATTATAAAAAGCTTCAAGATAGAGCATTGTACTTTGACAGCTTTGGTAACCTACAACCCCCTTTTGAGCTTATCAGTTATTTAGGCTATAATACCTTGATACAATATAATTATGACAGTTGTCAAAGTTATGATACTTTTCATTGTGGACATTTATGTCTTAAATTTCTAAGCGATCAACTTAAATTTTCTGACAAATATAACCTATATAAATACATGTAATCATTTGTAAGCACTCAGTCTATAAAAAGTCATTATCATGGATGAATCATTTACTCTATTTCAGGCAAATCATCTATACTTGAAGCAAAATATTTTTCACCAATAGAACTATTGCCAATTAAAAATTATATTCTTGGTCTTGTGTGTCAATTAATGAGGCCTAACACTTTTTTGTTGGTTTGCGGAATGCCACATACATTATTAGCTGGGTAATCAGATGTATCAAATTTGCAAATATGTACCTTCATATCAGAGTAGTTATCTACACTATTTAATTTTATAAATAAGGCTATCAGTATCTGTGTAAAGTAATTGGCCATTATCATCATACTTAATTCTCATATAATTATAATGAAAATCGTACATTAAAGTCTTCGATATATCTAAGACGCTAAGACCAATATAGATTGGCTTATTCATAAAAACTTCAGTTTTTCTAAGTTCCACAGCAATCAAGTTTTCTTTAAAGATAGCTCTTGTGTGAAAGCTAGGTTTTGATATGAGAGCCTCAGCGCGTATCTACCCTCCCACTTTGTCACAAGTGACATACCAAGTAGACTGTTTGAATTTTAAAATTCGATGTATATGATTAAGTTTAATACCATGTGCTAATGCTTGTTTAAGTGCACGATAATGAATTATGTACTTTTTTCGGTAAGAGGGTAGTTAGCAGCTTCGACTGCTTTGATCCAGGTGACTTTGAGTGTTCAGGACAAAATGGTAAGTCACTATGACTGTTATGCAATTCATTAGGGTAATCTAAATCTACTTCTAATATGTAACCAAAAGGTGAATCATCGGGGATATTAAAGTTAAATTTATTATCTACATTTTTTACCCACTCAAAACCACCGTAGGGAAGTGCTTGTACCATAGCCCAACCATAAAGGTTATTAGCGTCCAAGTACACAATGTAAGATGATTCTTCTTTTTCATTATAATTCTTCATATAATGATTGTTAGCACGAGCATATAAAATTTCTCTATTGGCGACAGTTGTTCCTCATCAAGTTTTAATCTACAATCCAAGTACTCATATGGAAAAATTCCTTTACGGGTTAGTAACTGAATTTTATCATATCATATCATACCATATCATAGGCTTGAAATTCTGAATGTACAATATTATAAGTTGTTAGATAAGAAGCTAATTTATCTGAAGATGATGCCATGAATCTGATAAGGAATCTATAAATTTAAATTTGATATCATTTTTTAACATGTTTGGTGAAACTGATGTATTTTTCGTTATTTATAGGAAGAAGACTAACACTACCTTCAAACTGAGTCGCAATAGCTTTTATAACAAAATGAGCATCATAACCACTCAAATTATGAAAAACTACGGGAATAGTTTTTGAATCCTGATATTTCAGATTGCAATAATGATGGGCAACTCCTCTATATTTGCCAGTTATATGACAATGATCTCTAACCTTAACAACCCCATGCGTGATGTTTTTTTTGCAGATGTGGCAAACATTAGTACTATTGAATGCCGCTTTTTGAGTTGCATTTAAGACCTCCATCGGTACATTAGTTATAAAAACAGGCTCAACATCCTCTGCCACCTATTTCAATTCACGAGCAAACCATTTTGATGGATCTTCTTCATTAATAGGGGATGCTTTGTATACTGATAAAGTCTCATCATAAAACTTTAAATATTAGCCAATGCTTACAAGTTTATGGTTTTAAAAAACTTCTGTATTACCCCCTATGGATGAAGAAGAATCAGTCACAGGAAGCAGTAAGCTCTCGCTGTCTGCATATATGATAAATAAAGCACGTTCCTTATTATAAAAATTCTTAAATTGGACCCTATTTTGTCCAGACTTTGGTAAAATAATTTTTCTTTTATTTTGGTTTCTACAATTTTCTGTGTGGTTATTAAGTTTCGCTTTATTTTCAAAATGATGCAAACAGTGATCGCAAATAAGCTTCTTATATGTAGACTGTGATAATTGTTTGCTTACAAGCCTAGATAAATTTTCTATCCAAACAAAATAATAATTAAATGTGGTGGTGGTAGTGTTTGACATTTCAGCACAATCTTCCTCATCATCATCTAAATAATCTTCCTCAATGAGTAAAAGATTCACATGAGAAACTTACTTATTAGATAAGAGATATAATGGTATTACAGTAAATTTTGATTTATGCTTTTCCAAACCATAAACATTTACGGAAACATCATTTTGAGATTGAAATTTTTGGATGTCCTTAAATGTTATAGAAAACGTAATACCTGTAAAATTTAAAGTATCTTCAAATTTCTCATATTTTTTCATTCTTCCTGGATTAGAAGGGGTTTTATTTAATGCTGAAAGAATCACCCACTTGAAGCATTCATTACCATCCGTTCGGACATTTAAACAGGAATGTTTTCGTTCAATAACAAGTGGCATTTTAATGAAACAACCATCACGCTTAGGGTTGTATTTGTTAAAATTCACATCTAATCTGATAATAGAGTCAAGTTGCCAATTAGATTCTTTCTCCTGAAAATCGTCTATAAGTTTGAGAATTTTTTGCTTAACATTTTCATTTTAAAAATTATCTAACTTTGTTGTAGGGAAAATCTGTCCAGTTTTCGCAATAAATGATTTTAAATCAAAAATTATTGTTCCATTAGCTAAAGTGTTTTTAAAGGAGGAGGGCCCCTAAGGCCTATATTTCGCCCCCTTGGGATTTTAATTTGAATGGTTGAAAACTTTTTCTTATAGTAGAAAAAGTAATTTTTCATTGATTTTAGGTGAAACGGGGGTGTTTTGGTCAAATTAACCCTTAGATTTTAGGGTTTTTTTTTCAAAAAGAGTGTCAAAAAACATGCAAAAAACATTTACCAAATGTTGAGCAATTGGCTTAAAAATCGTTGCTCGGGGGTTTTCGGGGTCGCTGATTACGAATCCGACGTTAGTTTTTCAAAATTCAAAATGGCGGATCCAAAATGGCTGACATATTTTCGAAAAATTCATTGGATTTGCCTGAAACTCGTGACTCGGGGGTTTTCGGAGTCGCTGATTACGAATCCGAGGTCAGTTTTTCAAAATTCAAAATGGTGGATCCAATATAGCGGAATTTTTTTTAAAAAATCGTTTAGATTTGCTTGAAACTCTCCTCCGGGGTTTTTGGGGTCGCTGATTACGAATCAGAGGTCAGTTTTTCAAAATTCAAAATGGCGGATCCAATATGGCGGACAACTATTAAAAAAATCGTTTGGATTTGCTAGAAACTCTCTACTCGGGGGTTTTTGGTGTCGCTGAAAATGAATCCGGAGTCAGTTTTTCAAAATTCAAAATGGCGGATGCAACATGGCGGACAAATATTTAAAATCACTGAAAACTACTTACTTCAGACGATTACATTAAGTTTTTTCAAAAGTTGTCCGCCATATTGGATCCTCTATTTTGAATTTTGAAAAACTGACCTCGGATTCGTAATCAGCGACTCCGAAAACCCCCGAGTCACGAGTTTCAGGCAAATCCAATGAATTTTTCGAAAATATGTCAGCCATTTTGGATCCGCCATTTTGAATTTTGAAAAACTAACGTCGGATTCGTAATCAGCGTCCCCGAAAACCCCCGAGCAACGATTTTCAAGCCAATTGCTCAACATTTGGAAAATGTTTTTTTGCATGTTTTTTGACACTCTTTTTGAAAAAAACCCTAAAATCTAAGGGTTAATTTTATCAAAACACCCCCGTTTCACCTAAAATCAATGAAAAATTACTTTTTCTACTATAAGAAAAAGTTTTCAACCATTTAAATTAAAATCCCAAGGGGGCGAAATATAGGCCTTAGGGGCCCTCCTCCTTTAGCTACTAGGATTGTATAAACTTTTAGACAACCTAGTCTATTTAAACAGGCTCTAAATTAATATCTATGTGACTCATATTAATAATTGTTACGCTTTGAATTCTAGAGTTAAATTCCCTATCAGTCACAGTCCATTTAATTCTTACATTTGCTTGAAAACCTGCTCCACGTTTCATTACCGAATCAAAATGCCATTCAAAGTAATAAATTTGTTTTTGTAAATTCAAATTTCTATCTTTTTCATTACCTTTAATAGAAGGAAAAGGTTTAGAAAATTTTTTTAAAAGAGCAAAATGTTTTTTACATTTGTTATGCCACTCAAATGCGCTAATGAAACGATCATCGCCGGACTTAGAGGATATAGATTCTAACTTAATTTTAGCAACATTAATGAAATTTTCTAATACTTCACAAATTTCATTAATTCTATCCTGTGAAACTACTCTTTCATATGGTTTACTATTTTTGCATGTAGACATTTTTACTTATTATTAAGGAAGACACTGTAACAGAAAACAAAAGCTGAAACAGAAAGCAGAAGCTGAAACAGAGAAAAAGATGGTGATGAATGTGGTGAAGCCCTCCCTCTTGGATGTATTTGGAACCTCCAACCGAATGAAATTGACCCTTAAGTTGTTGTTATTCCTGAAGTTAGTCTGCAACAGAATGATAAAAAACCGTTTTATTTTTCATTTTATTACGTTTTTTTTATTACGAACGTTATATATAAGGGGTAAAATTCCTGTAGCGAACTAAGTGGAAAAAAGTTGATCGGATCAGGCTGTAAATTACACATAGTTTAGCCCTAGGGGTGAATAATTTAACCACGAAGTATTGTTAGGTTTTTTCAAAAACTGTCGAAGAGGGAGGTGGTTGAATTTCTTTGAAAAATTTATACAGTGAATATTTGAAGACTTGTAACTTTTAAACAGAGAGAAGAAGAAAATTTTGACATATATGTTTTCCAATTTTTTTTTGTGCTCTTGCGATTGGTGAAAAAAAATTTCAAAAAATTCAAATTTTGACCCTTTTTTTTGAAAATTAAACTTTTTTTCGAATTTTTTTTTAAGTTCGGTCCTTTTTATTTTTTTTTGAAAGCAAAAAATGTGTATTTTCACCACAAAAAATATTGAGATGTCCTTTTTTGTTATTTTCGAGATATTAATTAATTAATTAATGTTAATAAAAAATGAAATATTTCACAAATAAATAAAGTTATTGCAATCTTGAAGGTACCAATTGAAAGCTAACGTTATTCCGCATCCAACGAGCCCTATATGGACTATTTTGGATTAGAGGATTTTCTATAAACAATGGCCATGTTAGCCAATTGTTTATTAACAATCCACTAACCCAAAGTACTTCCTATAGGGCTCGTTGGATGCGGAATTATGTCAGCTTTTATTAAATAACGTCAGAATTACGATACCTTTATTCGTTATAAAATATATAAATTTTTATTGAACTTAATAGTTAATTAATTAACTAAAAATTGTAAATATTATGTAAGTAAACAAAAAAAATTTTGACATATATGTTTTCCAAATTTTTTTTGTGCTCTTGCGATTGGTGGAAAAAAATTTCAAAAAATTCAAAATTTGACCCTTTTTTCTGATAATCAAAAATTTTTTTGACTTTTTTTAAAGTTTTATTTTAAATTTATTTTTTTTTTGATAGTTAAAAATGTGCATTTTTACCTCAAAAAATATTGGTTAGACAAATGTCTGGAGTTGGAGGACGATCATGGCATGTTAAAAAATCCGTGGGTGAGGGGGAGATAATGAAGATGATGATGATTCATCTTCAGATGATTTTTCGCATGATTCATTATCATCTGAAGACGATCATGTTGATGGCGATGTCGATCTCATTCTCCATCTTGTTTTTTCTTTTGTATTGTTGTATTAACCAATGTTTTTGTAGGTGTTGAATTATTCCTAACGCCCTCCGTAACTCTATATTGATCCCTCTAAAACATAAAAATTTTAACGAAAATTATAATAATAATAATACAAATAGTAATAATAATAATAAAATAATAATAACAAAAATAATAACAATAATAATAACAATAATGAAATAATAGTAATAGTAATAAAAATAATAACAATAATAAAAATAATAACAAAAATTACAAAAATAAAAAATCTAATCTGTTTTTTAACGTACCAACCAAAAAAATCCTGATAAACCCCTATTTGTGTTTTGGGCCCGGTCCTTGCTACCTGGCGCGTTGAGAAACCGCAGGTGGTGGGGATTCGTCGGCGCGGGACTTTTGGGTCTCGATAATTTCCACCTCCCGTCGACATCCTCCTCCCCTTCGAGATCTCAAAATTCCTCAGACAGTTCTTTTCGCATCTTCGCCGAAGACGGTCGCTCTTTCTTTAACGTATCGAAAAGTGTTAACAGTGTTCTTTAGTTGTTCGTTTTGTTTCAGTGTTCTCAGTTGTTCCCTTTCATTTAGCGTGGTTATTTTTACTAGTTCTATTGTTCTGTTTTTGCTCTGTTCCATTTTCCTCTTGAACGGGGCTGTCCCCCGACTCAAACAACCCCTGGGTTGTTCCCAAAGTTATCGCGAGTGTTTGTGTTCGCGAGTGTCTTTTTTTCTATCGCTCTAACAACCCCTCTGTGCGGGAATTATTATCATCAACTTCATCGGTCACGGTGCCGCGACCACGTGGTGACGCCTTGGATCCACTTGAAGTTGTATATGTTATTTATGGATGGAATAAATCAACTTTAACTTTGAATTTTATCATTTATTTATATAGAACAGTTTATTAAAAGAGAAAACGTGTTTTTGCACGCCGGACCCGCTTTACAAACAGATATCGCTCTTGTCCTCCTAAACTGGCGAAGACACAGGATCGTTTCCACAGCAGACATAGTTAAAATGTTTCGCAAAATCCTTGTTCACCCAAAAGACCGCGATCTTCAACGAATTCTTTTGCGACCGAGTGCGGAAATGCCAATTGAGGAATATCGACTTTTCACAGTTACATATGGTACGGCATGTGCGCCTTTTGTCGCCATCCGCACTCTGAAACAACTCGTAATTGACGAAGGCGCTCAATTCCCTCTTGGAGCCGAATGTTTACAAGAAAACACATACGTGGATGACATCTTTGATGGCGACGAAGACGTCCTGCAAGCTGAAAAAAAACGAAACCAGGTGGTCGATTTGTGTGCAAAGGGGAACCTCAAATTGGATAAGTGGGCAACGAATCACCCTAAACTTCTCCCTTCATCCTGTGAACCATCATCATCGAAAATCATCGATCAGAACTCAATTTTCAAAACGCTAGGGATACTTTGGGATTCAAATGATGACCATTTCACCTTTAACATCGTTCAAGAAACACTTTCCCCTCGAGAGGTGTCAAAAAGAACGATATCCTCGTGCATAGCGCGATTGTATGATCCCTTGAGCTGGCTCTCTCCCATAACCGTAGTTGCCAAGATAATGCTCCAAGAGATACTATCAATCTCTAGCTGCACTATCGAGTGTCAAGATCCCACGCTGGGTGGGAACCTTTTCAAACTCGCTGTTCGAGCTTTACGGCTTTTCTGATGCATCCACACGAGCCTATGCTGCAGTGGTGTATTTAAGAGTCGTGAAGTACAAGGGAAGCGCTCACCTTTCTCTCATCGCTGCTAAATCCAAAGTCAGCCCTATAAAAACAGTCTCTATACCTAACTTAGAACTTTGCGGAGCTGTTCTTCTCACCAGGCTGTTGCAGCACGTCAGAAAATTATTCCACTTTAAGGATGCGACTGTGACAGCTTGGTGTGACAGTCAAGTCACCCTTGCATGGATAAATCAGCATCCATCAAGATGGAAGACCTTTGTGGCTAACCGTGTCTCATACATTCAAACCGAGCTGCCCTCGGCTGTTTGGCGACACGTTCCTAACCATGGAAATCCCGCAGATCTCGCAACGAGAGGTCTTCTTGCAGAAGCACTTCAAGACAACCAACTTTGGTGGAAGGGCCCGCAATGGCTTTCCCTACCTCCCAATAACTGGCCTTCCCAACACCAAGGCTCTGAAATCGACAATTCGGAAGTACAATCCTTTTTGGCCGTTAATCCTGAAATCAACGACGAAATTCTCTCACGATTTTCCTCTCTACAACGACTCTTTCGAGTAGTCGCTTACTGCCTCCGTGTTTACAGAACCTTTAAGGTAAAAGCTTCCGGAGATTCTGTTAAAAATATTGCTCTTTCAGCCTCGGAATTAGAATCATCCAAAAAAAGGATTCTAACGATAGCGCAAACTAAAGCATTCGCCGAGGACATTGCTGAACTGAAAAAAGGGAAATCCGTTCCCAAAAACAGCGTGATCCGAGACCTTAATCCCTTTCTCGACGAAGAGGGAGTGTTACGCGTTGGAGGACGCTTAACAAACTCTTCCTTATCTTTTTCGAAGAAACATGCACCAATTCTCCCAAAAGATTCCCCTTTGACCCCTCTGTACGTAGATTTGGCTCATAAAGTTTCACGTCACGGAGTCATCGAGTCAACCCGCGTTTCCCTTCCCAATTGATGGGCGATCTGCCATCGCCAAGAACAGAACCGGCTCGCCCATTTCCGATTTCGGGCCTAGACTACGCGGTGCCTTTCCAACTACGGACCACAAAGGAACGAGTTTTAAATCCTACAAAGGTTACATCGTCGTCTTCGTTTGTTTCGCTACTAAGGCGATTCACCTTGAGGCAGTAAGCGACATGACGTCTGCAACTTTCCTAGCTGCTTATCGAAGATTCACTGGACGAAGAGGTTTATGTCGACAAATATTCAGCGACAATGGGACAACTTTCCAAGGAGCCGATAAGGAGCTGCGATCTATGTTCAAAAGGGGATCTGCGTTCTACTCCTATATTGCAGGCACACTGGCAAACGATGGTACCGACTGGCGCTTCATCCCTCCAAATTCGCCTCACTTTGGTGGATTGTGGGAGGCTGGTGTGAAATCGGCAAAACACCACCTGACTCGAATGATGCTTTCTCGGTCATTCACCTTTGAAGAGTTCAGCACACTCCTCGTCGAGATTGAAGCCTGCTTGAACTCAAGACCCCTGTGCGACATGTCTACAGATCCCGAAGAACTCAACGCTCTAACACCAACACATTTCCTCATAGGAAGTACATTAGCGATACTCCCCGATGAGGAACCACCGAAAGTTCCAGTAAATCGACTCGAACGTTATCAACTCCTTCAAAAAATCAGAAACAAATTCTGGAGAAAATGGTCCCAGGAATATCTCCAGTCATTACAAGCTCGAGGAAAATGGCAGCAATCCTCAGAAAATCTCTCCGTGGGACAACTGGTCCTCATCCGGGATGATCGATATCCTCCAACGAAATGGCCCCTAGGAAAGATTATCGAAGTTCACCCAGGATCTGACGGAAAAGTCAGAGTGGTGACAGTAAAAACAACTCATGGAACATATCGCCGTCCGATCGTACGACTTAGTCCATTACCATCGCCCACCTAAAGGAAACAGTACTCATAGTCTCTTCATAATTTCGTCCTGTGGACGAGGCGGGCGGAATGTTTGTGTTTTGGGCCCGGTCCTTGCTACCTGGCGCGTTGAGAAACCGCAGGTGGTCGGGATTCGTCAGCGCGGGACTTTTGGGTCTGGATAATTTCCACCTCCAGTCGACATCCTCCTCCCCTTCGAGATCTCAAAATTCCTCAGACAGTTCTTTTCGCATCTTCGCCGAAGACGGTCGGTCTTTCTTTAACGTATCGAAAAGTGTTAACAGTGTTCTTTAGTTGTTCGTTTTTTTTCAGTTGTTCCCTTTCTTTTAGCGTGGTTATTTTTACTAGTTCTATTGTTCTGTTTTTGCTCTGTTCCATTTTCCTCTTGAACGGGGCTGTCCCCCGACTCAAACAACCCCTGGGTTGTTCCCAAAGTTATCGCGAGTGTTTGTGTTCGCGAATAAAAAAGTGTTCGCGAGTGTCTTTTTTTTCTACCGCTCAAACAACCTCTCTGTGCGGGAATTATTATCATCAACTTCATCGGTCTCGGTGCCGCGACCACGTGGTGACGCCTTGGATCCACTTGAAGTTGTATATGTTATTTATGGATGGAATAAATCAACTTTAACTTTGACTTTTATCATTTATTTATATAGAACAGTTTATTAAAAGAGAAAACGTGTACAAAAAATACAGTGCACTTGACGCCATTTTTAAAATGATCAAGAACAAGGAATATCCAGATTAGGTTAGATCATTTACACGCCATAGTTGATATAAAAGAAGTTGTATGAACGCACTTTAACATTCCTCCTCGATTTGAAGTTTATTAATAAAAAAAAAGAAAATCGTAATTAGAATACAACTTTAAAAGTTTACAATGAGATCGTAGATTTTGTTTAAGCAATATGAGCTTTATTTCTCAGATAAACAAAAACATTTTTACCCAATGACTTGGTAAGAATATCCGCAAGATTTTGATCAGTTGAAACATATTCAATTGTTATTTCCTTTCGTGATACTAGATCTCTCAAGTAATGATTTTTTATATCGATATGTTTAGCTCGTTTTGAATTTTCATTACTTTTTGACATTAAAATTGAGCTTTTATTATCACAATAAAGTATTACATTTTTGCATAGTTTAAAATCAGTTAGAATACCTTTCAGATTAACTAACTCCTGAGCACAAGCAGCTGCTGCCACATATTCCGCCTCGGCAGTAGAGAGAGCTACACAAGTTTGCTTCTTTGAAAACCATGCAATTAGATTTTGACCATGTAGAATTATGCATCCATTGATACTTTTTCTATTTTTTATGTCAGTCCCCCAATCGGCATCAGAATATCCATTTAGATTTTCGCTGGTATTGGAATTAGTTTTAACATACGTTAATCCAATTTCTTTAGTTCCTTGCAAGTATTGCAAAATTCGTTTACTTGCTTTCCAAGCCTCGATTGTCGGATTATCAAGATATCTGCTCAAGTATGAAACGGAGAATGCGATGTCCGGTCTTGACGTTGTTGATAAATACATTAACCCTACAATTAATTGTCTATATGGAACGTCAATCACTTCATTTTTTTCAGTAATTTTGAATCCTTTTTCCATTGGTGTGTACTTACTTTTACAGGATTCCATTTCAAAATTTTTTAACAACTTCTCTATAAATTGAGTTTGGACAATTTTACACTATTTTCAACTCTGATTATCTTCATTCCTAAGAAACTTTGGATTCCATCTAAATCTTTTGCTTTAAAATGTTCTTTTAATAAATTTATCGTGTTTTTAACTTCATTTTGATTTCCTGTTACCAACATATCATCTACATAAATCAAAATCCATACGTCTTTACCGCAATATAAGCAACAGTCATATTTCGATCTCTCAAAACCGTGTTTTAAAGCAAAATCATTAAACGTATCATTCCATACTTTCGGTGATTCCTTGAGTCCATATAATGCTCGATTCAATTTGAAGATAGATGATTTAGACTGTAAACCCTCTGGTTTGTGGATATAAATTTCACTTTCCAAATGTTCATTTAAGAAGGCTGTAGGAACATCTAACTGCTTTATATTCCAATCCATTTTCAGTGATATTGATATTAACAGTCTTATTGTTGATATTCTCGCTACTGGTGCATACACTGGTTCGAATGGATTCTCTTCTTTCAACTGAAACCCTTTTGCTACTATTCTAGCCTTTTTTGTGCCATCTTCTTTTGTTCTAAAGACCCATTTTGTCTGAATTGGTTTCTTCCCTGCTGGTAGAGATGCTTCGCTCCACGTTTGAAGTTCTTCATGCGCTTGCAATTCTTTTTTAATTGCATCATTCCATTGTTCACTCTTCATTGCGTCTTCATACGTGACTGGATCATTAGGTGCTGTTAACAAACAATAAACAGAATAAATTTCATAATCATTCAAGTGTTTTGGTGCAACTATTTTTCTACCTCGTCTCGTTACTTTATTTTCTGTACGGTCATTTTCTGGATTAGAAGAGTCAGAATCTTGTTCATTTGTTTCACTTTCGTCGTGGTCAACTTCTTCTAAATTTTGTTCTTGATTGTTTATTTCTATCTTTTCTTCTCTATTATATATTATAATTTCTTTGTCATTTTTCATTATTATGTTGTTGTAATTGGTTTGATTTTCATCGAATCTTGCGTCTCTTGAACAAAAGATTTCTTCCTTCTCATAGTCCCATAGTCTGTATCCCGATCCACTATACCCAATCATAACACATGGTTTTGCTCGTTTTTCCAACTTACTTTGTTTTGGTAATACTGTCGCCCAGGCCTGGCTTCCAAAAACTCTCAGTTTTGATAAATCGTTTTTCTTGTACCATCTTGTAGCTGGCGTTTCTCCTCTGTTTGCTTCAGTAGGTGACCGGTTAAGTTCGTAGGCTGTAAATTGAATAGCATCACCCCAACGTATTTTCGGTAAATTCGTTTCTGAAAATTTTGTTCTAACTTTGTCTAACACTGTCCTGTTCATTCTCTCTGAAGTGCCATTTTCTTGAGGTGTATGTGGTATCGTATATTCTATGGTGATACCTTTGTTCCCACAAAATTCTTTAAAATAATTTGATACAAATTCTCCCCCGTTATCACATCTAATCTTTTGCGTTTTTTCACCCTGTTGTGTTTTAATTAATTTAATAAAATCAATTAAGTTTTGTTCACTTTCATTTTTACACTTCAATAATTTAACAATTAAAAAATGAGAATAATCATCAATCAATACTTGAAAGTATCTGTATCCTTTCTTTTGTAGGAGTTTTTATTGTACCTGAAATATCTGAATGTATCAACTGACCAATTCGTTCGGTTTTATTTGTCGATTTATAAAACGGTTTTCTAGTACTTTTACCTTCTACACAATTTTTACAAATTTCTTTGCTACAAGGTAATCCAAATAAATTTAAACCATTTTGATTAAGATGCCCTAACCTTCTATGCCAAATGTTATCTTTATTATTGTTACAAGCCGAGAAATTACAATGTTTGTTTTTAGTGTTTTTTGAGTTCTCGACTTTGAAATCGACATTTAAATAAAAAAGACCATTTTGTGAAGTACAATAAAACATAGAATTATTTTTTAACAGTTTAGCTGTTTTGTTCCCTAGTTTATTATTGTCGAATACTACTTTGAAATCTTTCTTTAATAGTTGTTATACTGAAATTAAATTATGAGACATACCCTCAACAATCAATGCTTCAATTTTGATTTCTTTATTTTGACAAATTCCTTTCAAAGTCCCTTTCTTTTTAGCAATTAAAACTTCATTACTTTTCGCTGTTCCTATTTTTACAGGTGTTTCTAATTCTGAGATATTAAACATAAAACTTTCTAACTCACCTATAACCATATGTTGTGTGCACCCGGAATCTAATATAAATTTATTTACATTTTTTGGCCATGTCTCATTGTTTAACGCTATGAATGCAATTCCATTTGCTTCGTTTGCCTGCGAGTTGTAGCCGTGATTTCGACCTCTGCTTTGAAATCTTGCACTTCCACTTCGACGTCCTCTGTAGTTTCCTTTGGTATTTTTATCGTAATTTGATCTGCATTCGGCAATTTTATGACCAGCTTTACCACATTTAAAGCAAGTATACGTGTCCGTTTTAAATGTCACTTCCGGATGAACATGTGTGTTATTTACAGGCTTCTATTTGATTTTCATTTCCTCGTCCAATAATCTTGATTTTACAAAGTCCATTGTGATCTCGGTGTTTAAAGTTTCTATAGCTGTAATAACTGCTCCATATTCTTGACTCAGAGATAATAATAAATGACAAACTTTATCTGACTCTTCGACCTTTGAGCCAATACTTTCTAATTCTCTGATTAAAGAATCAAATTTATGGAAGTGATCTTCAAGAGCTTCTGTTTTATTATGTTTTAATCTTAGCAGCTTTCTCTTCAAAGTTAATTTAGTAAACACACTATTTCTTTGAAAAACACCTTTAAGCGCTCCTAACATTTCGTTTGCTGTTGTGGAATCTTTTATAATGTCTAAATGTTTATCACTTACGCACTGTACAATAATAGATTTCGCTCTTGCATCCTTAATCTTAAAATACGCTTTCTCATTTGCCGCTTCAAAATCTTCTATTGTTTTCTCCAATGTAACTTCTAGTTGTTTTTCTTCAAGTAAGGCTATAAACTCTGAATTTACAGTTATTGAAATTATCTGAGTTTAACTGCGGAATTACAACTTGATTCATTTTGAGGTTATTACTTTGTTATAAGTTTTATACACTGAGACTGTTTTTAATATCCATCAATTTCTCACTTAGTTTGTTATGGGTTAAGCCTGGGCCCATAACCTGTTATTTATGGATGGAATAAATCAACTTTAACTTTGACTTTTATCATTTATTTATATAGAACAGTTTATTAAAAGAGAAAACGTGTACAAAAAATACAGTGCACTTGACGCCATTTTTAAAATGATCAAGAACAAGGAATATCCAGATTAGGTTAGATCACGCCATAGTTGATATAAAAGAAGTTGTATGAACGCACTTTAACAGTATACAGGTTTTTTCTTCTGAATTCTATGCATGAAAATAATCAATTTGTTAAGAAATGAACTTATATGAATGTAAAAGATTTAAATTTAGTAGATTTACATTTTTAAAAAAATTATAAATTATATTAAAAAAATAGCATTTTTTCTTCTTGAAAATATAAGTGGAATATGAATTTTTTGAATAAAAAAATCACTTTTTCACTTTAACATTAATGAAAATTTTTTAATAAAATTATGAATTTTGAAACAAAAATGGAAAGAAAATTTTGTTTTTCATTGAACTGTCTTAAAAGAAAAAAAATGTTTTCACTAAGAGAAGACTTTTTACAATGAGAGTTTTTGCATGGTTTTCTCTTGTATGGTACATATTCAAATTTCTATTATAGGGATGCAGGTACCCTTAAGACAACGTGTAGAGGGTGAAAAGCGGGTGGTAATATTTAAAAATGACATATGCAAATTATGTGGTGGTAGCGGGTGGAAAATGAGTGGTAATATATAAAAGACATATGCAAAATGAGGGAATGGTAGCAGGTTGAAAGTGGGTGGTAATATTTAAAAATGAAATATGCAAAATAAGGGGGAGGTAGAGGGTGGAAAGTGAGTGGTGAGAGGTGGCCAAACGAGTTAAAATTCAAAAATTCCAACGAGCAACAGCGCCATCTAACGACAGCGGTCGGTAACACCGATCTATAGTAAGTTACCGTTGGTCAGTAAGGTAGGTCGCGAAAAGGACTGAGTTAGAAGCTGTATAGATCCCCTACTCTAGAACTATATCGGAACAATGATATGTAACTGTTCTAAAATTTTGATAAAGTTCAGTTCTCGAATATATTTGTACCTAAGATTAAAAATTTTGAAGTGTTTATAAGTACCTTAACTATTTTCTATGGAATTAATAAATAAATAGTTCATTTTACTTAAGTATGTGGTTAAATTTAAAAAACTCTAAAATTTGTATATATTACATAGTTTTATTGATTGTTCTTTATATAAGCAATACAGTTTTTAAATCCTCCTCAGTCGCAAATTATCAAATCAATTTTGTATTAAGGGGGGGGGTATAGTTAATTCGGTGAAAATAATGCATACTTTTAAGAATTTTTTTTGGCGATACAAAGAAAGTTAATATATTTATTAAATTTGTATATAATAGTACAACATTTGAACAGTATTTCACCAAATTTTCATTGCAAAATATTGCGAATTGAGCGAGTAAGAGCAAATCTCCTCAGGCGCTTGCAAAAAAAGTTATTTTACGGTGTACACTCTAACTCGCAACAGAATCATCTAAAACAAAAAAACCAAGATGCATTAGTCAAAGGAGATGTTTCTCGAGGTAACCCTGGGAGCTTTTTTTGTTTTTTAAAAAATTACTTATTTTACAATAACAAATTCGTCGATTTTTTATAGAAAAAATCGGTTTTTTGGCTTTTATGTGTTACGAAAAATCGAAAAATGAAAAAAAAAATCCTCTTAGCGTTACCTCGAGAAACATCTCCTTTGACTAATGCATCTTGGTTTTTTTGTTTTAGATGATTCTGTTGCGAGTTAGAGTGTACACCGTAAAATAACTTTTTTTGCAAGCGCCTGAGGAGATTTGCTCTTACTCGCTCAATTCGCATTATTTTGCAATGAAAATTTGGTGAAATACTGTTCAAATGTTGTACTATTATATAAAAATTTAATAAATATATTAATTTTCTTTGTATCGCCAAAAAAATTCTTAAAAGTATGCATTATTTTCACCGAATTAACTATACCCCCCCCTTAATAGTGTTTTCGGCAGTTACTGTGAGTAACTCTCAGGAGTAATCAGTGGTGCTCATTTTTAAAAAATGGTAATTTTTACTCTAGTTCGTTGTAAGTGGTCAGTACGCATATACCTGCCGTATCGTATTATTTTGATTGGTGAAAAAATTGCATTTCGCGATAATATATGAAACGTGCCGTAGATTTGTAGTGAATTATGTTGAAATATAACCTAACTTTTAGTAATATTTGTGAAATTCCCTAAAATTTTTTTACTGAATTTCTTCGGAGGTACTCTTTCCTTTTAGTTGAAGTCAGTGAAAGGGAGTAACGAAAAAAGTTTTTAAAATATTTGAAAAATGATAGAAGGTAAGTTTATTATTTATTTATACTTATTTGTTTATTTATTTTTAAATAATTGAATTATTTCAAATTTTTTGTATTTCGTTTGATTTGACAGTTGAATAATAAATATTTATAAAAAAAATAAATAAAATCCAATGAAATGTGATTCTAATAATTTGAATAATTAAATATATATTGGCGCGATCATTGAATCATGTTCCTGCGCCTCAATTACGGTGACAAAAATTAGAAAAAATAACATGAATATGTTGATAGCATCAAATAAAAATATTACACTAAGGCAATATTCAATCAGGAGTGTAATTAATAATATTTATTATTTGCCAGGAGTCTGTCAAAATAAAAATTCAAATGTACATCTTTATGGACTTTGTTTCAAATAGTTTAATTTTATTTTAACATTTTCCCTTCCTTTTTTTCTCAATTTTTTTTTCGTAAAAACTTAAGTATCATAATTAAAAATTGCACTATTTATTTCTAATTTTTTTCAATCGTTTTACATTTTAATTAGATTTATTTCTTGTTTTTAAATTTTTTTTATATTACCTAAATGAATATTTGGCGAAATAAATATGTTTTTTATTAAAAATAAAGTTGAAGAAGCAGCGGTGGCGGCGGCGGTTGCTGTAAATACGATTTTTGATGATGATGAACAAGAAGACGAAGAGTTTGAAGATTTTTTTCGTTTAGTAGCTGCAGTTGGACAGGAAAGAGTCGCACTTCCTGAAACCGAAAATTATTTCGAAATTGTTGTTCCAAGATTTCTTTTGTCAGGTACAAATGAAAATAAAACCTAATTATAAGCATTGCCTTCTTAACATTATTCATTTAATAATAAATAATAATAATAATGTTTTTATCAGCTGTTTGTAATTTTTCACAGATTTCAAATCTCATTTCAGAATGAGCAGGACAACTTTTGAAGAATTGAGTCTAATTATTGGAGAAGATTTAGATACTCCACAATCACATGTTGCAGTAATGAAAAAATTAGCTGTTGCCTTTTGGTATTTCGGAAATCTAGAAGTTTACCGGTATATTTTTTTATAAACATATCTATTTGTACAGATGTTCAAAATTTGATAGATAGATAAAAAATTGAAATAAGATTTTCATTTTCAAAAATTTTTTACTACAAATTTTCATTAAAAATATTTTATATTTAACTGGATGTTCTTGGTTAAGAAATTTTATTCCATACCAATATAAATATTAATTTCAAAGGGTCCACCTGCAATATCAAGTCGTATTTAATTATTTTTTTGACTAGAGAATAGTAAATAAAGAACTTATTTTCTGTCCTGAATGATTTTATTTATATTTATTTTATAATAATAAAAAATTATGATATCGATCATTTTTTATCGATTATCATAGTTTTTTTATTATTAAGTGCTGTGGAGTGATAAATTTAAATAATATTATTTAATTATATTTGTTTATGACGTTTCAATGCAAATATTGTGTCCCTTATTAAAAGAAGGTAAAAAAAATTAATTCATAAACAAAAGAAAATTATAAATCGACATTACGAAATTGGCTTTATTGTTAATTGTAATTTATAAAATTATGCTAAGTGAAAATTTGATTTACTAATTATAAGGAATTAATAAGTTTTTAGAGATATATTTGCGTGTCTCGTATATAACATACATATTAGATATTTATTTACATTATTGAATAATTTTAATTCCTATTTCTCCGAAGTTATATCATCATATTTTTTTGGGTGATCATTTTATTCTATATTATAAATTAAATACATTTTAAAAATTGAAAATTTCGTGAATTAAATTTTTTTCACAAAATTTTAAGTACAAATTCGAAATTAAAAATTATATTAAACAAGGAGGGGGTCCTTTATGTTTATTTCATAAACATTATGCTTCCTCATTGTGTGAAGCAAAAAATTCGCTTCCTCGTGAAGGAAGCAATGAATTTGTCCAATTCAATTGATTGATTTAAAAAATTTCGAGTTAAAAATGTTTTAAATTAATTAAATTTTTTGAAAAATAAAGAAAATTTTAATTAATTTTGAGTGTAACATAAACTTTATATATACGAATCGATTCGTTTTAATGCAAGGAATACAATTATTTTATTCATCAACTTGTATTTAAAAAAAACACAAAATTTTTTAGCTAAAATATGAATTTTCGATTTTTCAATTTTTATTAATTCTCAAATTTTAAATCAAATCTATACTTTATATATACCAACCAATTCGTTTCAATGCAGGGAATAAAATTATTTCATATATAAACATGAATTTAAATAAACACATCATTTTATAGCTAAAATGAGAATTTTTGATTTTTTAACTTTCTTTAATTCTTTAAATTTCAATCAAATCTATACTTTATATATATCAATCGATTCATCTTGACATAAAGAAGACGATTATATTATATATTACCTTAAATTTTTCGATTTAAAAATTTTTTCAATTAAAAAAAAATTTTTGGAAAAAAGACGATAAAATTTTTTTTGGGGTATTTTTAAAAATCCTCTCGTCATTTTTGAGAGATTAATGTGTTAAATAAGCCTACCAAATTTTATCCAAATCCATTAAAACCTGTTAAAGATATCGTGTTCACAAAAACGATCCACACACACATACACACACACATACATCCGGACAATTGATCAGGATCTCATATAACATGTTTCTATATAGAGGAAAATTTGTTTTCACCATTTTTAAAAAGTTTATAAACGAGAGGACTACAAAGCTTCCTACACGAGGAAGCAAAAAAGAAATTGTTTATATAGAAATAAAATTTTTCTTATAGATCATTGTCTGATAGGTTTGGAATATCTAAATCCACTGCTTGGGAATGCGTAATTGACGTCGCTAAATCACTCTGTGCGCGTGCACAAAATTTTATTCATTGGCCAACAGATCAGGAGATTCCTATTATTCAACAAGAATTTTATGAAATGGCTAACTTTCCTGGAGTTATTGGAGCCATTGATGGCTCGCATATAAAAATCAGCTCGCCTCATTAAATAAAATTCTTGACATTTTATTTAAATAAATTATAAATATTTTTTACCATCTTCTTTTTAGTAACCGAAATTAAAACGACATTCGACCAGATCCTTTAGAACGTTTATTACTTCATCTTTCTTTTGAAGGTTTACTGAATGTCTTTCTTCAGATTTCTCTATCATCTTTCCTAGTAATTCGGTTTGAGTTTCGCTTTTCTTTTCTACTTTTCTTTTTTTTAAATTATCATTTCTCGTATTTTCTTGGACCACTTCCCGAGAGATTCTTTTTTGGTAGCCTTTAATATTCGACGCGATAGCTGGTGGATTTATGCAGGGTTTACAGTACAAGATACTGTGCATGTCATCAAAATATGGCCATTTAATCGGGCTTGATCCTGTTTCTTTTAATTTACCCAAGTTTCGTTTATAACCACGTTTCAATGTAGCCCATTTTGTCTTGCATTTTTCGGCCGTTGTCATTTTTTTCTTCCAATTTACACGTTTACTTTCCAAAAAAATTAAAATAAATTATACGTTTTATTTAGAATATTATATATTTACATTTGTTTAAAATTTTCATTTTTTATTTTATTTATTATCTTCTTTATTTAAAGAAAATTTTCATTTCATGATTATTTTGTTAGTGACAGAAAGGAAAAAATAACTTTTCATTTTTTTATACTATTTTATTGACAAAATGATAATAATAATATTAAGAATAAAAAATTTGTGATGATTATTTTTTATGTCAAACAAATTTTTTTTTTCATTAAATATTGTTCAAAAATATTTGAAAAAATGTAGTATTAAATTTTTAAAACTCACTTGGATCTGCATTTTCTTCATTCTCACCATCATCATCAACATCATCATCATTCTCATCATCATCATTATCATCATCATAATCCTTATCCTTATCATCATCATCATAAATCATCATCATCATCATTGATTTTTTATCAACATTTTCTGTTGTTTTATTTTTATCACCTAAATTTTCGACACATTCTACAGAGATAAGCGCTGTAAAAACAATAATTGATTTTGTAATTTTTTAATGATTGACTAATTTAAAAGTAAAAATATTAAAACTTTTAATAAAAGTACATATTTTTATATTTACCTGCATTTAAGAAATCTTCGTCAAGATATTCAACATCCTGATATTCAACATTTGATTCAGTTTTATCGGTTTCTAGCATATAATTTGATGCGGATGGTTTTGGCTCTGCCTAAGTCTCATGAGTCTTTTTCGTACTTTGACGTGAACGATTTTGGTGACATTTTATTAGGCGAAACATACTTTACCCTTTTACATACTTTAAAAAAAACCTCCCGTCATAAAAAATTATTGTTGAATAATTTAGAAAAACGATGTCAAAAAAATGAAAAAAAGTAAAAGATGTAAATAATGAAGACAAAATTTATTTGCAAGAAACTCCAATTGTAGTATTTTAAAAAACTCAATTTTCAACAATTCAAAATCTTGTTAATTAAATTAAAATTTTGTACAAAGTTAATTTTTTCAGAACTTTAAATAAAATTCTGAAAAACTTGAAATAATTTTGAAATGATTATACTTTTAAATATTAAGTATATAACTACTTTAAATAATTCATAAATACAGAAATCTTTTAAATTCAAAAAAAGTTAAATTGTCATAAACTTTCATTGAAACCTTATTTTACAATTTACACGAAGAATTTATTTTAAAAAATCTATAACAGTTCTAATGTTAAAAAGTTTCAATTTAAAACTTTGAAAATTCAATTAACTTTGTCTAAAAATTTAAATTTTTCCAAAAGTGAATTATTTTAAATGTATAACTTTAATTTTTGACGAAAAAGAAATTAAAAATTTGTGTTTTATTTAAAAATACAACGATTATTATTTCTAAATATTTTTGTAATAAAAAGACCACGAGGAAAAAACAATTACTTTTCCAATTTTTCTAAAAATTACATTTTAATTCCTTAAATTTAAAATATTTTTTGCACAAATTACCCTAACAGAAATAATGTTTTTTTTACTTACAATGGCAGTAAAGTAAACTGAAGAAAAATCTAGTATCAATAAACTCTAATTAACAATACAATTAAATGTAAATAATACAAAGATTCAACAAATAATTACTCAGATATATAAATGACAAACGATGATTAGCTAAAATACTATTAATTAAACAAAAATTCTATTACATGCAAAATAGCTATTAAATACAAATTTCTTAAATAAATTAGAATCAAAAAATTAAATATTTTGCTTACCATCTGATCCAAGTAATTGGCAAAGAATATATTTGTCTTCTGGCCTCACAATCACTTCACCTGTTACAGGATCTACAACGGCATTAACCGCCACAAAATTTTCTTCACCACTCATGATTTAAGAAACAAAAAAAAAAGTAGAAACAAGCAACAAACTGCGGAAAAATTTAAACGTTTGATTTCATCAACACCAATTGCGGTATATCTCATAAATGTAAAACAAAAACAATCGTACTGCGCATGATCCACAAATAAATTGCAGACATGTGAATTTAACTTTATTTTCAAAATCAAATTTATTAAAAAATCGTTTGAGCACCACTGCCGAAAACACCCTATATTCCCTTGTTAGGTTAGCGTAATGGTTAGAGTATTTAATGATTAAACGAACTTACAAGTGAAGTTCGATCATAATTATATGAATAACTTGTTCGAAGATATAACTTGTAGTACCGCTACTTGTCGTTGGATGACGCCACTGTTTAGAGATAGAATAAAGAAGTTCTCCCCCTTGTCTATTCCGTTCCCGCGTACTTTACGGTTTTCATTTAGTTTAGAGTATGGTTGTATAAATTAGGGATGGGTTTTATTTTAATTAATTCTTATGTCTTTATTTATTATTATATTTTATTTATAGGGAGGGACTATATATCTTCGAACAAGTTATTCATATAATTATGATCGAACTTCACTTGTAAGTTCGTTTAATCATTAATTATATTTCATTTAACTTGTTCGAAGATATAACTTGTAGATGTTTAGAGTAGAATACTAACATATTTTCTGAATTTATTTTATTATAAAATTTTATTATAAAATTTACAATGTTGAACATTAAAATTTTTTCTTATAATCTACAATTAACGAAATCTTAATTATTGAACACTCTTTAGGGTCACTAAACAAAACATTGGCAACACTTGAACTAATATCACATTAGATAATACTCAAATTTTTTTTTTTTTTTTTTAGGATAAGACCATTTCTGAGAAATTATTTCCTGTGTTTAGTAAAGGCCTATTGTAAAATTTATAAAAAGTCTTAGAATTTTCAGACCAACCTGCCGCCTTTTTTATGCAATTTACATCTAAGCCCTTAGATAAGGCTCTAGAAGTTGAAGCATGTCTAGTTGAATGTGCTCCGAATTCTTCATCCAGACCTGCTTTCTTCATAACATTTTTTAACCATCGGCTAATAGACTGCGAACCAACCTCCTTGTGAGGTTTTTTGAATGAAATAAAAAGATTATTTATATTTCCTCTAATTTTCTGAGTGATAGAGAGGTAATGAATTAAAATCTTTGCTACGCAAAGACTTTCTTTATCAAAAAAAGGAAAATAGGCATGAGGTTGGTCCGCACCTGGTCTCGAAGTTTTTATAATATCGGTTATTGAAATCTGTATTCCCCCTTGGGAAATCTTAATATTACTTATTTTAATCAAAGCAAGGGATTGTACCCTGAACGCTGAACCCAAAGCAAGTAACATGCTTAACTTTAAAGATAATTTTCTTAAATCCAAATTTTCGTACGGATACCAGTCCTCTAAGAATTTTAGAACCACATCTACGTCCCAGGTCGTACTGTATTTAGGAGTTGTTGGTCTGAGTCTAAATACACCCTTGAAGAATCTGTTGATTAGAAGGCTGTTACTCGTCTGACAGCTGTTTATTAGTTGAATAGCAGACCTTAGGGAATTTAAAGTTCCGTACGTTGCTCCCTGACTAAATCTCCTCGTCAGGCACCTAATAATTATTGAATCATTAGCACAAAAGGGATCTTGTTTGTTTTCCATACAAAAATTCCACCAATATTTTAAGGAAGAATTGTACTGTTTCTTTGTACCTTCAGCTAAAGAAGCGAGCATAATTTCTAGAGTGTCATCTCCCATCCTCTCTTTCTTGAGGGCCTGGCAGATACAATTCCTGATACCAGGATAAGCGAGCTCGCTAACGGATGTGTGATTTCCCTGCAAGGAGATAAAAGTAACTTATTAGAAGGTTTCCATTGAATTATTTCAGAAACTAATAAGGATTGAAATTCAGGGAACCAAGGCTGAGCTGTCCACAAAGGAACAACAATTATACCGGTTGAGCCTTCATCCCTGACCTTCTTTAAAACTTTTGTGATTAAGGAAAAGGGAGGGAAGGCGTACCAAAACTCGTACTTCCAAGAAACAGTAAAGGAATTTATAACGTGAGCTTCTGGGTCTCTTTCCCAAGAACAGTATTTACTACATTTATTGTTGATTCTACTCGCGAATAAATCAATCGTCGGTTTTCCAAATTTTTTAACAATATCTTTAAATGCAATTTGAGAAAGTTCCCACTCTGTATCTAAATTCGAAATTCTGGAACCTTCATCTGCTAAATTTTCTTTGGATACGACGTATTCCGCGAACATCCAAATATCACGAGCTTTACACCATTCCCAAATTTCTCTAGTTAAGGAATTTAAATCTTTATGTTTTATGCCCCCCATTTTGTTCAAGTAAGCTAACGCGGTGATATTATCTATTCTCAACAATAATTGTTTATGACATATACTAGAGGCGAAGGACTTAAGACCTAGAAAGGCCGCTTTAATCTCGAGATAATTTATATGTCTCTTTTTATCCTCTTGGGACCAAAAACCTTTAGCATTTCTGTTTCCGCAGGTAGCGCCCCACCCCGTGGTGGAGGCATCTGAAAAAATCTCTAAGTCGAAAATGGAGGTTCTAATTTTATTTTTTACTGTCGAAATTTCCGCGTCCCACCATTTTAGATCCTCTATCGCTGGTTCTGTAAGCGTAATCTTTTTATTAGGATTGTTTTGATTTTCATGTAAGGAATCTCGTTTAAGCTTTTCTAGATTTTTGTAATAAAGCCAACCGTAGGCTACAGCGGGGCAAGCTGCTACAAGGACTCCTATACTTTCCATCAGTTCTTGTATTTTTATTCTGTCGCGAGACAACAATGACTGTATCATATCTTTTATTTTTGCGCGCTTATCTAGAGGTAATTCAATTGTCATCTCATTCGAATTAATTATCATTCCTAAGAATTTACATGAATTATTAGGAATTAAGTCGCTCTTTTTTCTATTAATTACAAAACCAAGAAAAGTTAATAAGGAGATTGTTAATTTCGTATTTTTTTCGCATTCTTTTTTTGAGTTTCCAAAAATCAAGTAATCGTCTAAATAGATGACAACTCTAATGCCCTTGGATCTTAGCCAGTTGATTACTGGTTTACATAATTTTGTAAAAATGAAGGGGGCAGAAGATAACCCGAAAGGCAAAGCATTAAATTGAAAAATTTCCCTTCCATATCTAAATCGGAGATATTTTTTATCTTCTGTTTGTATAGGAACTAGCAAATACGCGTCTTTCAAGTCCAATCTACACATAAAATCCCCTTTATTTAAAATATTAACCGCTGTTCGGATGTCCTCTATTTTAAAATGTTCCTTTTTAACAAAAAAATTGAACGATTTAAGATTTAAAATAAATCTTTGTGTTCCATCCGGTTTGTCTACGAGAAAAAACGATGATAAAAATTGTCCCTTAACTTTTTTACAGGATTCAATAGCATTTATGTCTATTAATTTGCCTATTGCTTTGTCGAGTTGTTCGTTTGGTGAAGGTTCATTATTTTGAATGACAGTTTTGACTAAATTTATTTTGTAACCTTTTATTATTTCTAAGACCCTTTGGTCTTGTGTTATTTGTTCCCACCTGTTAAGATAAAATCTTAATCTAGCTGCGTGACTTACCACGTTATGCTCTAAGGCTTCTTCCTCTGCGGCTGCGACTGTGAATAAAATTTCTTCGCTGGGGCCTTCCAGCGGTTGTTGTTGTTGTTGTTCGTCACTCTGGAGGTAAATGGTCTCTGTGGATTGTAGCCCCCTCTTCCAACCTCCCTTCTCTGAGCAGGGCTTCGCCAGTTTAAAGCATTGGACCTCGTTTGAAATGGCTTGGGTTTTAATTCCTTGGACAACTTCTCCATAGTCTTGGAACTCTCCACTAAACTCTTAATGTTATCTCCAAATAAAAAACTAGTTGGATTCGCTTTTTTTAAAATTTTTTGAACCTTCTCGTCGTATTTTCCAACTAGGAAAATCTTTCGTGCCTGTGTCAAGGAATAGAAAAGCTCTGACAGGAGTTTTGTTGCAGACGAGAGATTTTCCAAAATTTGTTCTCTGTCTAAGGGATCTTCCGTGTCATTGAGAACTGCACTCAAGGTTGAAGAAACTGCTGCAAGTGCCGAACCAGTCAAATCCTGATAATTTCTAAAATGCTCATCGCGAGCTGACATTTTGGGATGTAAATCCACCTGAATCTCCTCATTAAGGATAGGAGCTGCTAGAATGACACTACCCTTTCTCGGAATTGAATTTATTATTTCATCTTTTTCCTCCTTAGTCCCAAATCCTTTAGATCTCCAGGCATGAACTCTCTCTGCAACCTCTTTAAGCAATTTTAATTCCTTAGGGGAATCAGTGGGATTTTTCCCCAGAAAATAATCAACTTCAGGAGGAGTTTCCTCGGTGGCTTTTTCCGTGGGAAAATCAAGCGAAGCCATGTTTTCATTTTCATAATTCATAACGTCTGGAAAATATGAATTTATTTTTAATTCTTTTAAAAGAAGGTTTTGTGTTATATTTTCTCTTTTTTCCGTTTTCGATTCTTGATCGAAAATCAGAAATCCCTTTTGGTTGTTGGCGACAATTCTAGATTGAAGCTCCACCATTTTGAGAAACATGGCGCCTGAGATGCCTGTAGCACGCCAGTAAGGACGCCCTAAAAAAAAAGACTTACCTTGGAATTCAAGTTGCTGATCTTCCTCAGCTATTATTGAAGTGTTATCCTGATCCTCTTTCGTGATCTCCTCCATTTCCGCCAGTGCAGAATTCATCTCAATCTCTGCTAACCTTAACCTCTGTTCCAAAGCTCTCTTTCGATCGTCCATGATGTGTATCCAACCAACGCCAAGAAACGAATGAAAACCGTAAAGTACGCGGGAACGGAATAGACAAGGGGGAGAACTTCTTTATTCTATCTCTAAACAGTGGCGTCATCCAACGACAAGTAGCGGTACTACAAGTTATATCTTCGAACAAGTTAAATGAAATATAATAGCCTGTGGAGCGATCTTGTTATAGAACAGTTAAAATTTGACACTGTTCTAACTATGTTTATTTTAGAGTTTCCTTTCTCTATCACCGTCCGACAAAATTCAACTTTTTTTTGACCCACAAAAAAATCCAACATTTTCGGAAACTAGGACCCCAAAAAAATACCCTTGTCTGGCCGTTTTGCTAGATCAAGTCGTTTGTTGTTTTTAGGGGTGAAAACAGCCCCTAAATAAAAAGTGACAAGATATCTTTTAAAAATTATTAATATTTTATAAAACTTGGTATCTGGGGGTTTTCGGGGTCGCTGATTATTACTCTGATGTCAGATTTTCAAAATTCAAAATGGCGGGTTCAATATGGCTGTCAAAATTTTAAAAAGTTATTAAATTTTTTTTAACCTTGGTATCTAGGGGTTTTTTGGGTCGCTGATGACGAATATGATGTAAAATTTTCAAAATTCAGAATGGCAGATATAAAATAAAACAAGGAGGGGGTCCTTTATGTTTATTTCATAAACATTATGCTTCCTCATTGTGTGAAGCAAAAAATTCGCTTCCTCGTGAAGGAAGCAATGAATTTGTCCAATTCAATTGATTGATTTAAAAAATTTCGAGTTAAAAATGTTTTAAATTAATTAAATTTTTTGAAAAATAAAGAAAATTTTAATTAATTTTGAGTGTAACATAAACTTTATATATACGAATCGATTCGTTTTAATGCAAGAAATACAATTATTTTATTCATCAACTTGAATTTAAAAAAAACACAAAATTTTTTAGCTAAAATATGAATTTTCGATTTTTCAATTTTTAGTAATTCTCAAATTTTAAATCAAATCTATACTTTATATATACCAACCAATTCGTTTCAATGCAGGGAATAAAATTATATATAAACAATAAATTATTTTAATAATAATAAATAAATATAAATTATATATAAACATGAATTTAAATGAACACATCATTTTTTAGCTAAAATGAGAATTTTTGATTTTTTAACTTTCTTTAATTCTTTAAATTTCAATCAAATCTATACTTTATATATATCAATCGATTCATCTTGACATAAAGAAGACGATTATATTATATATTACCTTAAATTTTTCGATTTAAAAATTTTTTCATTTAAAAAAAAATTTTTGGAAAAAAGACGATAAAATTTTTTTTTTGGGGTATTTTTAAAAATCCTCTCGTCATTTTTGAGAGATTAATGTGTTAAATAAGCCTACCAAATTTTATCCAAATCCATTAAAACCTGTTAAAGATATCGTGTTCACAAAAACGATCCACACACACATACACACACACATACATACATCCGGACAATTGATCAGGATCTCATATAACATGTTTCTATATAGAGGAAAATTTGTTTTCACCATTTTTAAAAAGTTTATAAACGAAAGGACTACATAGCTTCCTCCACGAGGAAGCAAAATTACTACTTTTTAAAAATTTGATCGACATATTGGATCCGCCATTTTGAATTTTGAAAATCTGACATCAGATTAATAATCAGTGACCCCGAAAACCCCCAGATACCAAAACGGCCAGACACGGGGGTTTTTTTTGAGTCCTAGTTCCCGAAAATTTTAAATTTTTTTGTGGGTCAAAAATTGTGTTGGACGGTGTATTACATCAAGTTTTAATATTTTTATTAAGAATAAAAAATGTTTTGCATGTATTTTTAGGTAATAATCTTGCAATAATGGTTATATACCATTTTATAGTTGTTACAAAACAGTTCCCGAACTGTTACAAATACATTTGTAACCATGTTCTAGATCTGTTACTGAATCTTACATATCCGCTGAGTACGAAATTGTGCGTAACCAGTGACTCACAGGTTCTTAACCAGTTACAGAACATGTGCTTTAAAAAAATTTGTAACAGTGTTTGCTGAAGCGTAATGTCTTAAGTTGAAAAATTTATTTAAAAAAAACAATTAAGTAATTAAACATAAATTTCGTTTTTTAAAATAAATAATTGCAAACGAAAGCTGAGGTTTTTTCTGATCTGCATACAAATTTTCAGAATGCCGATTTCTTTGTTTTCGAGATATTAAATATCAAAGATTTTATGTCTGCGCGCGCCAGTGTAAACAGGTACCGCGGTGCGATATGAGTTTGCCGCCTTGCCGCGCGCGCGGACATAAAATCATTGATATTTACACGGAAAAAATAAGTCAGCAAAACTTTCGTAAACTAGTATTTCACTTTTGGACGGGGCACAAATTTTTAAACGTTTCATACACTTTTTAGTAATGAAGCATAAACTTTACCGAAAAAATGAAACAGAGTCAAGAAATTATTTACAAACTGTATAGAAAGATCAGTTTGTTAATCTATATTGAACAGTTTTTAATAATATTGTTTAAAGATTGTCGAATTTCTATAAAAAGTTTTACAACATTGTAATAATTGAGGTTCGAAAGTTTGAAACATAAAAGAGAGTAGTTAAGACAGCAGTCAACGAAAGAATCGTAGACTTTTTCTAAAATTCCGAACATGCGCAGTTCGTAGCTTGGTCAGTGTTGATCAGTGGAATTAACTTCTTCGTTCGCGTGGCTCTCGATAGCCGCGGCGGTTAGTTGTTAAGACAAAATGCGTTATATATCTTGGTTAGGTAGGTTCGAATCCCGCGGAAGCGAATTCCGAATTTTAATGTCGATAAAATTGTGTATAGTGTGTATATAAGATATTAATAATTGTGTTTCAAGTGATGTACAAATTAAGTAAAAAATACCCCTGAATGTGAATTTTTTTTTAATTTTTCTAAATTTTTTGTGAGTTTACAAGCGTTTGGTTGACTGTCGTCGAATTTTTATGCATATAAGTGTTACGAAATCTTTGGTTCACGTACTTAAGTTCTAGCTGAGAGTTTATGAAAGTTTGATAAACTGATTCCGAAACATCA